GTTATTTCATCACTCCAAGTCCAGCAGCAGCACACTCGTGGCATGCCCTTCTCACATTTTGTTTAAGCAGGTGATAGAAAATACAGATTTTGAAGGAAGAGACACCAGAATTTGAGCATAATCAGATGACTACCAGAATTATTACTCCCCCAGAAAAATAGTGGAGGTAAAAAAAAAAAAAAAAAGAAAAAAGATTCTTGAGCAGCTTATAACATCATCTTCCTCCTTTCTCTGGATCAGCCTTTCTAGACTTGCCTGGAACCTAGGAGGTCCAGCCTCAGCATTCCCTGTGGTCACTCAGTGCCCCCTGCCCTGCAGACTCAAACCACATAGACAGAGGTTTGTGCCCTGTGCAGCCCCTACCTCCACAGCCCAGAGCCCTGACTACAAGTTATGCAAGTAATACGTCACCCAAACCCAGTTTATCTGCAAATTAATGTTATATCTTATGCCTGCTATAAAGTGTAAACAGCATTAAATGCACCTCTTTACATTCCAGCATGTTGTGGAAGATTGTAAAAGCACTTAATATATTATTTAAGCTGGTTAAGCTAGATAGCACAACTGCAGTAATTAGCAACAACTCTCCAAATCCCCATATGCCAGACAAAGGATCACATTTAGTGTTTTTGGGCTGGTAGGAGGGAATCAGAACACAGCAGACGTTGGCACACACTGCTTTTTCTCCTCTGCCCATCCCAGCAGAACCTGCACTTCACTGCAGCTGCCCCACTGCAGTATCGATAGGGCCTGAAATCCATCAGACAAACAGGGCCAGCCTCTCTTTCTGTTTGTTATTTAAATGTGATTTAGTGTTAAAAGACAGAAAAATTAACTACTTCTCTTGATAGCTGCATTCTGTAGACTGGAGGGGAATTTCCTTTCTTTTCAAAATAAAACCAAACATAAAAAATAAGAAAATGCCCCCAAACCCAAACCTGACTTCCTCTGAAAAATCCGCAAGCTGAAGTGCTAAGTAGAATTGCAAAAACAGCCCCAACATCAGCCCCAGCTTTGTGCATGGGGGGAGAGCAGGGCAGCGCAGCACAGGGCCGGGCTAGGCAAAGGGCATGGGTCAGAGCAAGGACAGCATGCAAGCATTGCCAGCAGCCTGAGCCCTGCCATCCCAGCTCCCATCACTGCCCAGAGCATCGTCACGCTGTGCCTGCAGGCAGGCAGCCCGCTGGCACCAGCTCTGCTGGAAACTTGCCTGGTGCAGCTCCTGTGCGAGCAGCAGGACCATGGGAGGTGGGTAGAAGAGCTTCTGAGGGAGAAAGGAGGAGGAGAAAAGGAGATGCAGATTTAGGAGCCTGTGTCATAAATAGAGGCACTAAAACTGAGGGTGCCATGGCTCAGAGAGGGGCAGGCCTGGCACAGTCCCAGCTCCAGCCCGGTTCTCTGGTGGAGTTCTCCATCCTCTCTGTACGGAAAGATACAACAGGTTTTCCCCCGTTGGATCATTCGGAGAAAAGACTCAAGACTGAAAACTGATGCAGGACAGGAGAACCCCTTCAGAAAGTTTTACTTCTCTATTGCAAAGATAGGAAAAGCTCTTTTCACTCCTTTATATTTATTATTTTTTCTGCTTCTTCGCTACAGTAGTGGGTAAATTGGTGGGGAGGGGAAATTGAATGAGGCAGGTAACACTTCAGGCAGTTCCTAGTGCATCATCCAATGGGTTAACAAAAGAAATTGAATTGCTTTTAATATTTAGATACCCACCTTGCTAAGCAGAAGCAAAGGGAAGGGTTTATTAACATGTCATTAGCAAGGCTTGTTTCGATTTGCATAAGAAACTCTGAAAACTTTTGACACAGAAAAAAGGAAGGCCTGAAACTGCCCTGTTTCTCACAAAGCATGGAGGAAGCTGATAATGCTCTTTCATTTCCTGAAGACTTCAAAAGGCTTCAAAAAGCAGTTGTATGACATCAGCAAACACCAAACTCATTAACATCTGACTAGAAATGTCAAGGCAGAAACTCACCTGCAAAACAGCCAAAACATGAGATAACATATGTACACACCAAGATACATTTATTGACTGAGGAATTGGTCATCAGCAGCTTTGGGCCACCCAGGGTGGGAGCACTTGGAGCACATCTGGTCAGATTTCATGAAGGACAGAGAGGGCATAAGGGATGCAGATGTGGTTGCAGCTTCATGTTCCACCTCGACATACTGCTGGTCACAAAGCGCATTTGGGATTTTCACCACATTTGTTCAGACAAATAATTAAACGAACAACTTCCAACCTCAACAAAAAGGGATTCCTATGGCATAATAGGATTCCTCTAACAACATCACATGCAAACAACGACGAGGCCCAGATTCTCTTTTTGGTCTCTTCCCATGACGCGAGGGCTACGAGCTGGAGCTGCACTGATGGGCACTGAGCTGCGGAAGGACAGGTCTCTGGTTGGCTGTGAAAGTTTGCATCATCCTCAAGCACGAGGAAAGGAATTTCCAGGACAATCAGCAAAGTCTCCACCCTGCAGGCTGGGCATCCATGCTGAGCATCATTAATCACTCTATCAAACGAGGTGTTCACCTTCCACATTATACAAACAGGTTACCAAGAAACATTCCCCTTGACAACTCCTTTATTATCACATTGCAATACATCTGGCTATGTTGTCTGGCTTTTAGGTTTAACTACATCACCTTGTATGCATTTTACATTGTACTTAAACCAACTACCTGTACATTTATCTGCACTTATCAGCTCTCCTTCCCTGTGACCTACTGCTGAATCAATATTGCATCAGATACCTGCCTATATTGTTTGCAACCTGACTCATCAAATCACCTGTGGTTTTCATGCTAAATCTGCACAAACCAACAAACAGCAGCCGCGTTAAGGGTGTCTTCACAAGTGCTTTCTTCTGGCTACATGCCCAGCCTTGCACTGAAAGAGCTGCTGTGCCAGCAAAGCTTTGCTGTTTGCACTTGCACAGCTCCAGGAAAGAGCTCGCTAAGGTGCAGAAGTCACTGTTTGCAGGGGAGATGCCAGAGAACTGGGGGTGCTCTTGGGCTGTACTGTCACAGCTGTGTTTGAGCAGCACTCGGGCTCCTTTCCCTTCATTTAAAGAAATATGAGACGTGGAATCTATTTGTACTCCTGACTTTCCTCCATCCAATTAGAACATTGTTTGGAAGGGCTCCTGACCTCAAGTAAGCGATATAACCCGACAGATTTATGGAGATGTGGTCTGGGTTATGCCATCTTTGGCACACCTTACACCATGACCAAAACGAACTGCAGCTTTGCTCAGTGCAATCATAGAAATTCAAGGGCAGGAAAGGATTATGGCTTCTACGGTCAGAGTACAGCTTGGAGCATTATCAGACAGCTCAAGAGTGGGAAAAGGCATTTTGCAGCCTCAGCTTTTTAGTCTCCAGCTCTGCTACTGTACTAAGTAATGCCAGAGAAGGCTGTAAGGTCACTGCTTCACCCTGACCCTGGCTGACAGCTCCCAGACACAGCAAGCTCCTCAGATGAAGGCTGCCCAGGGAGGTCCGTTCAAGGCAGCTGCTTGTACCCCTCCACTTTGGCTGTGCTCAGATGCAGTGCACTCCCAGAGGCAGAATGTACACTGCCATGCCCAAGGGGACCCTCAGGCCTGCAAGGTGCAGCGTATGCAGGAGAAAGCAGGAGAGCCTCTCCATTCAGCTGCCATGTGCCTGTGGAGGCTGTAATCTCACAAGTACACAGATATGGCCACACAAATAAGGTTATGCCTGGGATAACAACCGGTGTGTGTCCCAGGGCTCCTGCACGGTCTTTAACCTGGCTGCTACCACATGTGAGAGCCTGTGCTAAAGCAGCTTGATTGTTCTCAGTGCTCCTGTTTGCCAGGAACACACCGCCCTTCAACACCCTGAGGTGAGAGCTGAGGACACGAGCTGCCAACTTTTTGACTTGAGCCTCTGGAGGTGGCCACGCCAGGATGGGTTTCACGGCTGCAGGCACAGGGCAAAGAAGAATGTGTGCAGCTGGCAGCCAGCATTGAGAAACTGAGCACACTTTCAACACAGCCTTTAGCTTTTCAACATCCCCTACAACAAAGCCACCTCCTTGTCAAGTCCAGGCTGAAGCTAGCACAGCTTTGCTTATCCTCACTGCCACGACTCCTCTACTCTGCTACACAGTGACCTTGCTTTGTGTTATCTGATGCATAACATACCTTGAAATCTCAGCATAGACTAAACAAATTGCAACGTACCTTGGAAAATCAAAGCAAACCCAACCGCAAAGTATTTGGCGATAACTGCCCCTGTGTTTGCTCCTACATCAGGAAACTGACAGCAAAACTTCAGGCACTGAGGTCGCAGAGATGCTGCTCCAGCCACACGTGCTGTGCCGAGAGCAGAGCCACCCCTCCATGTGGCCATGGAGCCTCAGAGAGGGCCTTTGTGCAGCCCTGTGCTGACTCCCGGTGTCAGAAGGAACCTGGCACAGGAGCACAGCTGAATCACAGCTGCAGCAATTACACTAATTGTCTGAGGGACAAAACAATTGCACTTGTCTGACTGGTCAGGGCATGACTGTGGCCCGACACATTTTTCTTTGTGAAAGCATTTTGCCTGGAAGTATATCTCCAAAAAATAATCCCTTTAACTACACGCCTTACTTCCTCCTGGCAAATGCAATTTATTCTTTATTAGAACTGAGATCTTTAAAATTGATGCTACCCAGCAGAACTACGCCTCGCTGTGGGTGGCACCTACAAAAGAGATGCCCCCAGAATTCCATTACACCTCGATGGGAATTGAGAACACAGCTCCAACAAGCTCCTTCAACACCACCTTGTGTTGCACTCTGTCTGTGGCTGCGCCTGCGCCCCACCTAACAGGGCTTTCTCAATGGCAGCTCAGCCCTGGCCACACAGCCCAGTGGCTGCAATGGGAGAGGAGGAAAAAGGCCCATTCTGACCACACCATAGGTGACAATCACAATCACTAATGCCATTCCCATCATTATATCCCAGCCACCCCCATGGCTGGTGGAACTTGGAACCCGTATCCAGGCACCCTGGTGACCCACAAACACTCTTTCTGTGGTTACTTCCCTTCCTCACCTGGCACGGAGGTGGCAGCATGAGGGCTCTGTGTGCCAGGGAACAGGTGGGCATGGAGGAGCAGGCAGTCAGTGGCAGCATGGCCAGAAAGGTGAGCATGAGCAGGAAGGAACACACAGCCAGAGCAGGGCTCAGCCTTGGTGACACTTCCAAAACTTGGTTTGGGATCAATTTTGCAAAGGGATCTTCCTACAGGGCAGAGTACATCAGAGGGGGAGGGACTTCTCTCATTGCATATCATAGGGTTTTCTAAAATACACCGTGATCTTGGGTTTAGATTGGTCACATAACCAAAAAAGCGAGGTGACCAATTCTTACAGGCTTTTAATTGCAATTAAATATCTGCCTTCATTAACCACCTCTGAAAACCCAGTCTGAAATGCTTCTGGCAGGAAGAGCGATGCTCCTGAGCCTGAGAGTAGGGTTTGTCCTCAGCCGGGCTTTTAGAAAAGGGCACAGAGCTGGCACCAGTGGGTAACTGACCTCTGTCTCTGGCACCCACAGGGCCCAGGGAAGGATGCGGGCAGCACAGAGGCAGCAGTCCCTGCACCAGGCAGTGTGGGTTGTGCACAGCATTTGGCCCCACTCATCTGCTCCACGGTTGGCCTCAACCAGGATATCTTCAAAATTGTGAGATACTGAACGGGGTTCGGCAGTGGGGGAAAGAGTTAATTTGTGGCACCTCAAGGAGGAGAGCGGAAAAATAAAACCCAGGGGTTTGACAGAGGAATCAGACAGCAGGACAGCACACTAAACTTTCATGCATGGAGGAAAGCCATAGTGGTTAACCTCATCGTTGTTTTCTCAGCATCACACTTCAGTTAAGCAAACAACAGGCCATCCACATCGAAAATCACACTGCTCAGTTTTTGGAAATGCATATTGCTACTTCAGCATTTCACACGGAGCTTTGATGGCGTGGTGTCAGCCACCCTGCAGCCCCAAAGTTTCATCCCACACCACTGCCCACACATGGACGAGCCCAGCCTTACCCACACATGGCCCTGTGTGTGCATCATGCAGAAAGCCATGCGGGCACAAAGGGGAGGCAAGCAGACACAGTACTTGCTCTTGCATCACAAGCTGAGGTTTGCACCATCCCAGGCACGGCCACAGGAAACAGCAGTGTGTGAAAAGCAGTTCCCTTTTCCCATCCATGCAGAACAACAGCTGTTTCATACCCAAAAGTTAATATGTTTCACCCTATGATGTCAAAAGGGAAGTCCCAGCCATGAAAATCCCTCAGTCTCCTTCGGTGTCATCCCAACACGCTTTGCCTGTGGCACCTTGAAGTTCAGGAGGTACAGGATAGGCTCCTTCAGGGTGACGGAGACACTTGGCAGGGACCAACCTCAGCCCCCCATCCCCACACAGAATGCACTCACCCAGAAACTCCACTGATGCTTTTCCAGCCAACTACTTAAGTAGCTTACTAACAGAAAACAGCTATTCCAACACTTCCTTTGCAGTGCAAGGAGTACTTGAGGCCCTTCAAGAGGTCACTCAGGAAGCTGCACTTGCCCCAGCACCTCTCCAGGAAAAAGAAAGTGAAGTACATGAAAGAAAGTGTGACTGTGATCGGGGACCGCATCGACTTGTTCCTCCAGCAGCACTGCAGAGCCTCGGAGGTCCGGCACTGGAAGAAGTAAGGCTTTGACCTCTTACAGCACCCGTGCTCTGGGAAGGGTCATTCTTCATCAGTTTATAAGCTTCAGGGAAAAGGAGAAAAGTGCCATGCAAAGGATTCACCAGTGGTCCCCTCCATAAGCCAGAACCAGCAGGAGGAAGAGGATGCAATCTGTGCTCAAGTATGCAACTCACATGTCTTTTCCCTAGGATGCTGTGGAGGTTCGCCTCCCTCTTCTCAGATAAGGATGAAAAGCAGCTGCAGAAGCTGTATAAGTACATCAAGAGAAACAAGATGCAAAAGTTCCAGGTAAGCAAGCAGGACAGCAGCCTTCCTCAGCCAGAGGCAGGAAGCTGAGCTGCTGCCCCCAGCACCATGGTTTGCTATTTCAGGAGCAGTTCACAGACCCCATGCTCCCAGTCATGCTTTACAGACCAACTCTGATTCTTAGTTATATCCAGTTAAGTGAGAGCTGAGCTCTGAAAGAAGCAACTTGCTCAGGTAAAGCAAGCATCTGTCAACTCTACTTCTGTGCCTGAGCATCAGCTACAGGAGCCCTCCAACCATAGAGCTGTAATGAGTGGATTATTGAGAACCCATCCCAAAGGGTTAAGCCATGAAAGCCGACTCTCAGCCACCCACAAACACAGCTCCTGAGCAAAGGCTGAGTGCACCAGGAAGTTCAAAGGTCCCTAAGAAATACTTTTAGAAGTTTACTTAAAAATAGTGTTAAAAAAAAAACCAACAAACAGCAATACTGGAGGCATCTGGGAAAATGTTCCAAGCAATTTAGGAAACTGCAGTAGGTGCGATCCTGTGCTTCACATTAAAGAACTGTGGCCATCTGAGTGCTGGCAGCAATGCAGCTGCCAGTAAGTGGGAGGTCTGACTGTTAGAGCAGAGGGAAATCAGGCTGTTTGCTTGTTTAGAGGGCTCCAGAAAGACAACCCAACAATAAGGAAATGTAAAGGAAAAAAAAAGCAGGAGCATCAAGCAGCAAACGCCTCCAAATTCTCCTACTCCATTGCTCCACCTGAACGAAAAATCAAAACACAGAATAGCACATCTTCAGCCTGGGAAGGAAAAAAGTGGGAAAGTGAAGGGTAGGTGCAGCCTGTGACACAGGCAGGGCAGCGCAGTGCTGGGGATGCAGATGTCTCCAGAGCACAGCGATACACAGGGGCTGATGGGCTGCAAGGAGGTGGGAGAAGGATCCCAACCAGGGAGCAGCTGTCCCCCATTGGAGCACAGCAGTAGCACTGGGGCAGTGGATTGGTTGGGAAAACCTTGTTGTTTAGATGAGTGAGCATAGCATCGTAATCAATACATGATTAGGAAGTGATTGAAGTTAGCTCTCCTTAAAGGAGAGTAAGGTCCTCTGTCAGCCTTGCCCACCATCATCCTACAGCCAGAGCTCTGCCTTCCCCTTTCTTCACTGCAGGTTTCAGGCCTTCTTTAAAAGCCACATTTCAGTTTGCACACTGATCCCAATTCTGTTTTTGGGCTTACTGAATGTCTGAGCAGCCCTGCATCCCCATGCAATCTGTCACCTCTTCTACACCGCCAAAAGCTCATTAGCATAGAAATTAGCCCCCCACTCCGTTCTTGTTTCTTTACTCTCTCAGACCACCTGAAGCCCCTGAAAGTTCATTTGTTATAAACAAAACTACATGAATCAACATGATTCAGGCAGCACAAAACCTTTCTTTGTCCTCTGGGACAGCCCAGAGCGATGGAGATGCTGCTGCTGAACGTGGGCACCCACTGCCATTCCTGTGCCCGAGGCACCATGAGGCGACAGTGACATCCAGTGGCACACACACATCCCCGGCACTGTCAGCAGAAGGGGCACAGCACAAAACACCTCTTGCTACGAAACCTGGCTGCCCAGCAGCACCAAATGCTGTCACCCAAGGAGGCTGGAAAAGGTCAGTCCTGGAGCTGCTGTGCTGAGGGATTCCTGCTGAAGAACACAGACATTGGGTGCCCACGCTCAAGTGGAGCTTGGTATCTGAGCACAAGGATCAGCACAGGGCTCAGGGGTGGCATGCTCACTGCTCCCCCCACAGCCACCCAATGGGCCCACAGTTCTGCATTGCTCAGCAACGAATCAGTGGTGCTCAGTCAGATCAATACCCTGAAAGCCCTTGTTGTTGTATTTTTGTTTGTTTTTAAAGCTGTTATGCTGTCCTTCAGAAGGTGAAGATTCACATCCTGAAAGAAAGCTGAAGGAAACCACTGGGAGTGGCTGGGCAGCAGCTGTGGAGGTAGCAGCCACATCAACACCCCCTGTGCCACCGCCCAGCAGTGAGTGCCACTGCCACAGTCAGGTAAAGAGGTGACCAGAGGTGAAGGCAGAGAATGGGACAGGACAAACTGTTGCCTCAGAAGGCACAGGAAATAGGGAGAACAGCACACAGCAGTAGCAGGAAAGCAGGAGACATCCCTTGGGCAGCCCATGTCAGCTGCGGCCCATTGGTGTGTATTTACATAGCAGTGCTAGTGCTCACAGCATAGCTGTGGGTTTGCCTTTGGGCACAGCCTGGCAAAGCAACGCACACTCAACAACAAAAATGCTGACCAACCTGTTGAAGGCACATCAGCCAACCAGAGCTCTCAGCAGCCCATTTCCTCCAGCCCAAAGCCCAGCATCCACAAACCCCAGAGGGAGAAGGAAGAAGGAGCAATTGCTGGCAAACTCTGCTCTGCCCTGGGCAGGTGCTACAGACCCACGTGTGCCTATTTTCAAGCTACCAAAAAGCACCCACAAGACATGTGGGTGTTCTCATGCACTCACAAACCATCTTGCTTTTCATCTTCTCTCCCCCAAACTGCTTTGTTTACCTCTAAAGAAGTTCAATTTGATGTCAGATTGTTATATACCATTGCTGGTGCATATCTAACAGCTAAATTTTACCAACTTGAAATTCAAATTGGTAAACTGAAAGTCAAAAAACAAGAATGAGCCAGACAGCACGAGCCAAGAGGTGGGAAGGAGTCCCACACCAACCTGCAGCTCCGTGCTCAGGCAGCCCTCTGCTCATCTGCTGTGCAGCAGGAATGGAGAAAACAGCACCTGGCTGCTTCTCGTGTAGGAACACAAAGTGTGTGCCATACAGGGAGTTGATGAGATTGAGATGCATGGAGTTTTGGGGGCTGCTGATGGCCTGAGGTCAGCTCCCCTCTGCTACTGCTGAGTCAGCAGGAACTGAGGTACATTCTTCATTTTTAAGGTTCTCAGACAGCTTCAGACACCAACAGAAAGAAAAATTAACACTGGATTTTCACGCAGTACATAGGACAGAAAGCATGGACTGGAGTCTGCCTTTGTGGTTTCCTGAAACTGCAGGATGCTGCAATACTTGCAGCGCCATAGCAACAAGCTTTCACCCAAGCAAAATGAAAATGCTGTTTAAAACCACGTGATGTTGTTTATTATTATGCTGGAATTTCCTAACAGCTGTACACCAGCATCAAGTCTCCACTGGGGCTGTGTAAGCATCACACCAACCAATACTACCTCTTTCCTTTTGTACAAAACCGGGCAATGGAGGAACCGTGTGCACAGGAGCAGAACGCGCTGCCTCCCTTTGCTGCAGAGGGCAGGATCTGCTCCACAATCATCCCCACACAGCAAGCCCTCCCCACTGCCAGCAGGGAGGACACACTGAAAGAGGATCAGGAGAGGTAAATACGTGGACTATACTTTGGTACCAAAGAGTTTCATAACTTCCATGCACACACACAGAGCTGAGCTTCTCCCATCTGCTCCGGGCAGAAAACAGCCCGCAGCCCACGCTGGCAGAGCCTGCAGCTGACCCCACTGATCCCACCTGGGCTGATTGCTGTGGGAAGAAACTCATCACAGAGCTAATGCTTCAGGACAGGAATGATTAGAAGACAGTAACAAAGCTGGTTGATTCAGGCTCTAGAGGTGGCTGCACTTGACGTCGGCTGAAATGTAGGTTGTAAGGAACAAACACAATCAGTTTGGCATGGAAAGCTTTTAGGCCAACCAGTCAAATCCCCCAAATCCTTCCCTCCTCAATGTTTGTGTGGTGCAAGTGACTCAGCAGCAGATCGCAAAAGGTGTTCCTGAGCTAATACAATATTTCTTTCAGCTAAAAGTGATGAGCTTTCCCCCACAGCACATGCCGCATAAAAGCGATCACAAAGCAGTTGCATCAGAAAAATACTGCATGCCCTCAAAATGTCACCCTTGCTTAAGGCAAAGCTGAGCAAGATTAAAGCCTGCCCGAGTCTGGATTATTCCACAGTTTTTCCAGCAGGGCTTGAGGGGGCTGAAAAGTGACAGGAGAGCTCTCAAGGAAAACTGAGCTGTGCCAGAAACCGCCTCGCTGAGCTTCCTGCCTGGGTGACAAAGGCAAACAAAAGCAAGAGAAAAGTTCTTGTGCTACACACATCGCATGAAAACCTTCCACGTAAGCAGCAGAACACATCAGGCCTGCAGTGCACTGACACAGGACTGCTTTCTCCTGCTGTGTCATGCTAGCAGTCGGCATGCAGCACTGCTCCCAAACCCAGCTTGCACAACCGCGCAGCACTCCGCTCACGTTTCCTCACCCAGGCTCTTTGCTCTCTTCTGTTTAAACACTGCATCAGGAAATTCATGGAAACGTTGCACAATCCTGAGCTCAGCTCATAAGGAAAGCAAGATTTGCATGTGTTTGGTAACGTGTCACTGTGTAACACAGAACCAGCAAAGATCATTAAACCAGACAAAAAATCCATTCCTTTCTTCTAAAACCACAAACCTGGAAAGGTGCAAACGGAGGTTGCGTGCTGACAGCACAGGACAGTAAAGCTCATGTTTTATGCCACAGAAAGCAGAAACTTTGTTATTTACTAAACAGAGACAAAAGATGTTCAGAATAAGCAGAACTGGTCCCACAGCAGCCTGCAGTCTGGAACAAGCACTGCAGCACCACAGCCATCCCCACACCAATGCAGGGACCTGCAGCCAGCACTTCGGAGAACCAACAACTAGCAAACAACAAAACACCAGTACTTACCTCAAGGCACTCTTAGGGGAGTCGTGGTTGAATTCCATCAGCACAGGACGCAGTGCTGTACCTGCTGTCATGGCACTGATTTTGACTTCTTGGACTTTGAACCAACTGGGGAAGGAAGTCACCACCAGACAGCAGCACTGACCCAGCTGGGTTCATTACTACCCAAAATGAGCAGGACAGCCTCGTGGCTCTGCACCCACCTAGTTGGTTTATGCTCAGCAGTTTGGCTTCAGCACTCCCAAAATGTCAGCGTTTCCCCGAGGAAAAGGGAAAGAACTGAGAAAGATGCATGGAGCCCCAGAGGCCTGTGCTTCTTTCCACCTTCCATCAGCGCAGACAGGAGGCACAACTGCACAGGGCACTGCTGCAGCCCTGGTTTCAACCTCAGCCTCTGCAGTCATCCTGCTTTCCATGGGGTTAACCAGCCAGCAGGGATTTGTCCAAGCAGGGCATCCTGTGGGTCACAGCTCGAGGTTGTGCCCCAGGCCTGGCTGCCTTCAGCCCACAAGGCCCAGTCCTAAGCCGCAGGCCTTCGTATTTCACGCTGAGGTCTGCAGCAAGTGGCCGGGTGAGCACAGAGCAGCTGGCAACAGGCTGCTAGGGAATTCTGCAGGTAAGTCTGCAGAAGAGGTCAACAAAGTTATCAACAAGACAGGGTGAGAAGGGAAAGGAACAAATCTGCACCAGGGAGGTGCCGCGGTTCACTCAGTCACTCTAATGGGAGCTCACACCTGGAAGCCAGGCACAGGGAAGCAGCCACAGCCACCATCTCTGCCTCCGAAGACATTTCAGATTAAACCTGGTGGGAGGTTCACAACCCTCTCCCTCTTGCTACTATCAAGAGGCAACGTGTTTCTGCACACACGTTACCCCGTTGACATGGCACAGTCTGAACTGCTGAACAGTAAGTACAACTTTTTAATGCTTTTGGGAGCGCGCCGTCTATGGGGGAGCAGAGCAATGGTGACACAGCTCAGAGGAAACACAAACAGACCTGCTGCTGGCTGTGCAAGCATTAGCACAGGCATCCCAGAGGGCACATTCAGAACAAGGCAGCTGCTCTCCTTGTGTTCCCTCGCTGCTGTCAGGCAGAGGCAGTGCCAGCTCAATTCCCACTTACACGCTGGTTATGACACAGCAAGGGAGAGCAGGGAAGAAAGGGACAGGTATTCACCAAAAGCAAAAAGTTGGATCCAAATTCAATGCAGATACTTCCAATTGCAGGAACACTATATTTATTAGGTCAATATTTCATTTTAGCAATACAATTACAGAATATCACAATGCTGGTTACAAACATAATATGGTTTGATGGTTACAAATAATGTCGGGCACTGCAGTCTGTGAGAAGTAGGATACGAAACATTGTCTTGACACAAGTAGGGTGGTCTTCCAAGTCTAGTCATGATCAAGATACCTTCATATAAATGACTGTGGCACTACAGGTAGAGATTCTGGTTTAGAGGTGTTGTCTGTGTAAGTAGTTTTATTTATACAGTTATACAGTTCAAGCAACATCTTTTTTAGAATGCTATTAAATTAAAATTCCCTGTAGTTCAATAAGTATAAAAATAGTACTGAACCTGGTAATGTTCAATAAAACGTAGAGTTCATTCACATCATTAAGTAGTAAAGAAATTGTAAAGTCCTAGTTACCATGGCAACATTGCTTCCCATAAAGGAATATACATAAAAGAAAAGTTACACGTATGGTACCTGCGACAATTATTTAGTGATCCAACACTGAACTTGTGCACCACAAACCGAGTTTCTAAATATCTCTATATATTTATATAGTATATATCTTTTTCATCTTAAAATTTACTTTTGAAAAAAAAAAAATGTGCACTTCAACAAACTCACTAAGGCCACTCATGCTATAGATACCTAGGATTGCAATGAAATATTGTTAAACAAGACCCTAGAGCACACACCTTTATATCACCAAAGGGAAACCTGTTTCACTGCCCGAAACATTCCTGAGATTTAGGGACAGAAGCATTACCAGTGCTGTCAATTTCTTTGTAAGCAGTTTGGTTGATGTCTGGATAAAGGAAATTTCTTCCCTGCTTCTCACAGAATCCTCAGAAGGCCAAGAAACAAACCGTGCAACAGGCCATACACGTCCAACATGGAAACACCCACAACAAACAGTCAGATCTGCAGTTAACATTTGGCCAGTCACTTTCTTATTATAGAAACAATAAGGAAAAAAGGGAAACAACGAGCTTTAGAGAAAATCAAGCTTCTGCACAAGCTTCGTTACAACCTGGTAACAGCAACATCTCCCCCGCATTATTTGCTGCTACCCTGGGAAGTCAAATCCCATCTGTACAAACCAAGGTTTTGTCCATAGCTTCACTCAAGTTTTAGGCACAACGCATTTTCCTTTTTGTACTCTACCAATACACAACAATGAAAAGGAAATCAAGTTCAATGTGCATTTCTTGTACCATGAGAAGCAGCGCAATGGCACCTTTAGCAAAGATCAGACTGCAGCGCATTTAAAGAAAAAAAATCACTTCATTTTTAAAATTACAAAAGAACATTGTTTTCCCAATAAGTTAGAATCCAGCAACTAAAAGACCTTCAAAATTCTTCAACAAAAAAACATTATGTGCAAAAAAAAAAAAAAAAGTTTTCAACTACCAGGTTTGTAAAGAGTGCTCATGAAGTCTAAGATACAGAGGCAGACACTTGTTGGTCACAACATCATGCTGTAAAAGCAACCAAACCACTGTTTGGGGCCAAATAGTCACTAGGTGTCTTACTTCAATTAATTGAGGGATAGACTTATTTTCAAACATCTTTCTACAATTTTCCTCCTTCCCATTTTGTCAGTTCTTAAGCTTTGCTTGCCTCTCCTGTTCCACAAGAAGTCATCCAGAATAGCCCAATACAGAATCCTGACATTACCTTCTTTCCTTTCTACAAATTGCAGTGTTCAATTAAAACAGGAGACAAATAACTGATTTCAAAAGCTTTATGCTGAAAAACATAAGGGCTTAAACAATAGTAAAAGTAACTTTCTACAAAGTGACACCTCACCACTTGTAACCAATCACTCTGTGATTACTTACCGTTAAGAAATATTCTGAAGATGCACTTCACTGGAGTCCCAACCCCAGATCTTCTCTCTTTAACACCAGCACCAAGTAACACCATCTCACCTAGTGGTAGGTGCATTGTGCGTATATAAAATGCAATGATTAATCAAAGTCATCAAGCATTTTGTAGTTGGCTAACTGCATTACAGCAAGGACAAGGTCTCCTAACAAGCAAGGCTAACTATAAAGCCTCCTTCCCCAGTACTTACACTATGGAAAGTTTGTTCTGGGGCTAAAATAGGACAGGAGTTTGTTGGTTCTACACCTAACAGGAGGGAGGTGCAAGGTCTTTGTTGGCAAGTTCTGTGCTGAAAAGTTGCACAATACAGAGAACATAGTAGATAGCACTCTGTTCCTTTAGCTTTACCTAGTGCCAAAGTCATTAAATAAAATTAAATGAATACATAGAAATCTGCCTCAAAGACATTGGGGATGTTTCCACCCTTATGGGTGAGCAAGTCATCTACTTCTTCTGTAGCCATCCAATTGGATTTCTACTTCCTCAGGGATACCAAACAACAGCAAAGACAGTAACAGAGTAACAACTAACAGCACGTCTTAGACGTCTCCACATGCCAATACAGACAGCCAATTTCTTCCAAAAACAAGATCAGAAAGTCAGAAAGGCCAGTTTTATGTTATCACATGGAGACTCCATCTGCAGCAAGGACAGCGGATGTTCCAAGTTACGGCATGCAGAGCAGGTTATAAAGCATTTTGTAGGCAGCTGCAAAGTTGCCCTGCAAAGCTCCTCTGCTTTGACAGCATTAGCAGTTGCCACAGCTACCTTTCTCCAAACGTGGTGCCTTGGCACAAACGGAATTGCTGAAGGGCTACATTGAGAAGTTCAGCCCAACAGACAAGTCAGGATTTAGTCACATGAAAAGCATGCTAGTAGTTCCACAAGGATCACAACACATGCTCTTATCCAAGTCACATTTCTTGGCCGAAGTCCAACAAAAAGAACTTGGGGTGATTTCAGGATGTGAATCCCTTCTAGACAAGCCAATACATCAAAGTACACAACACGCTAGCGAAGTAGCTTGAGGAAAGAAAGAAAAGTTCATCCACCCAGCAGGCCTAAGAAAACAGAATAAAGCAACCCATCACAGAAATTGAACATGTTTTCAGTTCTCAGAAGCGAACACCTCCCTAACCTGCCCCATGTTGGAAGATCTCCTACTTGCCACAAATTGAAAGCAACCCTTGAAACACACAGAAACTAGAGGGCTGATGTGACAGCAATGATTCACATAGACTGCTTTCACCAGTGTCAGTCAAATAACACTCCCCAATTCAGTCAAAATCTTTAGACCTTTGAGTTTTGTTAGCCAGAAGCTGGAAGCAGAGGCCTGACTGGAAGCCATTCACAAACAGACATCATAAATGCAAGTCGGTGCCCGTTCTGAAGCTGTTAAACCCTTCTGCAATACAGCAGTAACACAACTTTGTTGAGGACAATTTTAAGCAATGTTCCCCTGCCCAAATTCTGGTACTAACGTTAGCTTCATTTAAGTAGTTTTAAATAGGGCTAAATAAAAGAATTCATAAGAACTCTATAATTAATTACCGCCCTAATGGATGATATTCAGAGATGGAAATATTTCACCTAAAGCACTCCTATGCAAGAAAAATTGCTACAAAGTAGATATTAAATCCATACATAATTTTAAGTTGAATTTTCATTGAACAGCCTTTGAGGGTACACTACAACGTAAGTCTTAATACCACACTCTGTTGTTGTTTTTAAATGTGGAACACTTTCATTGAAATATTTAAGTATGCAGTCATTAAAGCTGCACTAATCATATCACTGCATATTCAAGTTGGTATTATTCAGCCTTTTCCCCCAAAATTACACTTGAAGGCACCGGTATATGAACTATTGGCCTGGAAAATTTCAGTTCTTAAAGGAGTCATTAAGCTCAAAGCAGTGTCTGAAATTTCTTATTTCTTCTGTGCACTCTTTCTTGAATACCATCAAGCAGCTTTTCCTGTCCCAAGCTTTATAACCTAATTAAGAAAAAACAAACCCTAAACAAAACATCCAGTCCAAGTCCTGTAGGAACCTTGCTTGCTGAGCCCCACCTTGGACTGAACTTCCATGGCCAAGTTACAAACCCCTGAAAATAGGGGGGATGGAGAAAACCCAAGAGACAAAATCCAACTATAGGGCACTGTTTGCGCCACTATAATAAGAAAGGAGGTAACAGCAGTGAGTTGTTTCTAGTTTGCTATGTTACACTTTAAATGAGTATTACCTCAACATTTTAAAAAATAAAAACACACCCAAGCAAAAAATAAAATAAATAAACCTACAAAGCAAAGCAGCCCCCCCACCCACCCAACAGAAGAAAAATTAAGACAAGCTAGTGAGATAGGCATTATTAAAGGATGTTTACAGCTGATTTCTGCTTTTTAAATTAATATAAAGGAAATCCATTTCTGGTTGTACTATTGTTTAATGTAGAAATGAAGCATCACAAAAAAAAAAGACCTGTTGTGCTTTTTGGCATTTTCCACTGACCCCTGCAAACTGTACAATAAGTTGTGTTCTCCAGAAACATAAAATTGACCTGGATTGTAATACAAAACCATTAACTGGTATAAACAAGTTGCTGCCTCAATTATCAGAGTAAGCCCATTAAAAAAAATAATAATAGAAAAAAAGATGGCTGCAGTAAATAGTTAAGCATTTCTAGTTTCTGCGTGTGGCATTGACATTAATATCTGTATAAGCTTGCTAAGTAAAAACATGCCATCGCAACTGCTAAAGAACGTTCACTTCCTAGTTTTGTATCTATTACAGGAATATAATTTTGCACTGGTCATACATCTAAATGAAATAATTCTACTGTAAAAGTGAATGCAGGGGCAGAAATATTAAATTAAAGCCACTGGTCCAAAAACTGTTTCTAGCAGGCTGGTCCACTTTTGATTTTCCTGGTCCTGTTATGAAGATTAGCACTCTTGGCTGGTACCAAAGAAAACTAAGGTTGCTGGTCTACTAGATCTTCCATCACTTACAGATGAACACTGGTCCAGTTCAGGATATTAAAAACAACATACGGTCTGTACTTCCTTATCAACTTATTGTGGATCACAAATGGTATGTTGCTCCCCGAAGTGATTCTTTGCCACTTTTCTTCATAAGGCAGCAGCCAAAGCATCCTTCCTTTTCTTAATATTTGTGATTAACTTTGCTACAAATGCATAAACTAGAGAGACCTCTCTCATATTATTTCTCGTAGTATAGCATTTATTCTGTCTATCAGAAGAAGAAAGCTCTTGATGAAACCTTCCATTCATAATAAGAATGCAACTCTTTTGAACTCAAACAGTTTTATTTAATGTTCTCTTGCAGACTTTCTGCAAAGTAGGTTCTTTTGGAAAAAGAAAAAAAAGAAGGGGTTTTCTGGAATACCAAGTTAAAAACGTGAGCCGAACTAAACATGCCATACACATGCTGATAAGAATTTAACACACATTCATCCGTATGGGCACTCTTCAGTAGACTGGACCAGTGTTTCAATGCAAATTCCAGCCCCCAGAGAACTACATGGTTTAGATTTCACAGTATGACTTCTCCCCTGTAATCTGGGAAAAAACTTAACTGATTAATTGACCGAGTTCTTAGCTACTCTGTCCATCAACGTTCTGAGACATCAGAAAAGACTGGACCACTTCTTCAGTGGATTGAGGACTGCTGCTTACATCCTCCAGAGCATCTGTAACTGAGAACTGCCGATCCCGCAACCGGTTCCAATTGGCCAAAATATTGTGGTACTCAAAAACTTTCTCATAATTGCCAATGGAATTGTACAGTTTAATGAGACCTCTGTAATCATATTCAAGTCCACTGTATCCTTCACCAAAAAGCTTCTTTCCTAAAGAAAGGCAAGAGATAACAAAATTAAAATTCAATACTTAGATTGAAGCCACGCAAAGAAATAGAAATACTGCATTTCATTTTTAGTTATTGAATAAGATGTTAAACATTTCAAAAAGCTTTTTTTGTATTAAGGCTGCTAGTAAATAAACACTGTAAGAATCACCTACCAATTGCTATGGATCTCAAATAAAGCTTTTCAGCATTTTCGTACTGATTCATATCATAGTTATAGAGAGAAGCTAGATGCCCCACTGACAGTGCAACTTCATAATCCTCTTGACCCAGGAGCTGCTCCTTAATCTGAATTGCCTTGATGTGCATTTCCTCTGCTTCCTGTGAGGAACAAATTCATATAGGTCAGACACCACTCACCACACCATAAACACTTTAAGAAAAAAAACTATGTAGTGGTTAAGTAATCAAGCATTTCACAAAGGACAAAAAATGAAAGATAGGAAGGCCAAAACCAGACCAAGTTCTCCAAATTCTTTTGGATCATCAGCAAGTAGTATCACTTCACATCCTGTTCCCAAAGGCATCTTAATTATTTCTGTGCAAAGCTTTGAACAGATGAAATATTAAAATGGAACGAAACTCCCAACTGAGGTTATGAACCGGGGACATAAAGTACAATTTGCTTTGACATATTTACAGACATCTTGTAAATTGCATGTCAAGAGATTCACATTAATAGATCTTACCTTAAACTTTCTCATGGACTGATACAGTCTTCCAAGGTTGCCATAATGTTTTGCTGTTTGTACATTAAACTCCCCAAAGGCTTTTTTAGCTAACTGAAGTGAGGACAGATGCAAGTCGTGAGCTTCTTGAAGTAACCTCTGCTCAGTTTCCTTGTTATGACAGTCTATTGCAATCTCCTCCAGGATAAGTGCTGAGTATAAGAAGAAAAGCAACATCACCATGTTCTAAACACAGACACACCAACTACAGGTAGCAAAAAGCCAGCCACCCAAGAAATCTCAGGAGATATCTAGATCAGGATTTATATTTATTACAAACTACTTTCAAACTTTACAACAAGGTATCAAAGTTATCAACTCTTTCATATTCTGTATTTTTACTACTATTATTTAAAGAATCAGTTCAAAGTTTTAGAGAATTTTAAATTTGTATTTTACAAACGTGTTGACAAATAACATTGGAGAACTATAGGGAATATTCTAGAACCATCTCCCTTTGAGAAAAAGCTTATACATTGCCTCTGCTGGGAACAGAATAAATACAACTAAATGCCTGCTCTCCACTGACAAAATGTTAAACTGTTCCACTAATGCAATTAAGGGTACTACCTTTAACTCTCTTTGAAGATGCCAAGAGAAGATGGTCTTCTGGGAGAATGTGAGTTATAATGCCAATAGCACGTTCAGCATGGAATCTGAAAGAGTTTAAATATATGCATCCTCATTGCTATTTAAATTACCAGCTGACTGGTAAAGTATTAACAACATAAAGGTAGATGTTCACTGTATTAGTGTTCTTGTTAGAAAAATCTGTATAAATTAAAAAACATTCTCTCCTCCCACCCCCCATTTGCAGTATTAGAGTTACTGCCATTACCTCAAATAGCTGTACTCACAGTGCATTGTCAAATTTTCCAGAGCTGTACTGGTGAACATAAGAAGAGTAAGCCAAATCTTCATGAGCTGTAGCTACATGTATGTTTTTACCTCCAAATACTGACTGCCGAATATCAAGAGCTGTCTGAAAGAGTTACAAGAATATCATAACGTCAGTTAACATAGAGAGAAAAAAAACAAACCAACAGTATGCATCTTACTGCTAAAAAGGAAAAAAAAAAAAGTCCGATGGCTCTGAAATTCAGTAGGTCCACACAGACAGCAAATCTAAAGAAATCACTCAAGAGAAAAAAAATGAAAGCAAAAATCCAAAGTCAACAAACAATGCAGTAAGTAAATGAATTAATCATCCTGAATTAAAAACATGTGCGTTTCAGAAGAAATAGAGACATTTTATTTATTAATAGAAATCAAATACATTTAGCCCTGCTGCATACCTGATAGATGGCAACGGATTGGCATATATTGTCTACGTTGAGCAAATAAAATCCATAGTCTAGTAGTGTATCAGAATATTTGGGGTGCTTGGCTCCAAAATGCTCCCTGTAGAAACATGCTTATATTACTCATTGAGGAAAGTTAGGAGTACATTTAAAAGAGGGTTTTTTGGAACAATACTCACCGGGCGAGATATACTGCATGTTTTATCAGCTGTTCAGCCTTCTTAAACTCACGTTTTACAACACAAGCCTAAACAGGTTGAAATGAAGCATATGAAGAGATGTACACTCAAAATCCTTCTCCTTTAGATATTGGCCCAATTTCTATTACTTTTAATTCTAATATCACCACTGTCACTAAAGGACTTTTCGACTTATTTAACAAGCGTTCACAGAAAGCATCAATAAATATTTTACTCTGACATAAAACACCAAAAAGATTAGTATTGTATCTGAGTCTACATCAAAGATAGGAACAGACCATCTTTTTGTGGAAGGCTCTCAAGTTAACTCTGCCATAATGTTCCTTTGAACAGCTATAATTCAGTTTCACGGGGAAAGGAAGAAAATACACCAGAGGCATATGAAACATACCAGAGATACTACACATTCTCACCCATTCTTGATAGCAATTTAGAAAAGGAATTTGGAAGAGTCTAAATTCACCTTAGAAGCTTGTCGCAAAACATCCACTACTACTTTTACAGGCAGGCCAACTGTGATCTCCTTCATAGCTTCTATACACCACTTGTAAGCCTGTCAAACAAAGTTAACCAACATAATTATTGATCTGAAATATCACTGTGTTGCAATATTAAGAAAAATATAGACCAGTCATTTACATTACCAGATTTAAATAATGCTGGTCGCCATGGTCTGACAAACCTGAAGAAATTCTCTTCAACTTAATACTGAATGTGCAGTAATTTGTATTACACTAAGGTCTGTATAATTAAAACGAATATAATATATTTCACAGGAAAAAGGCATTTTATAATGTTTAACTAATCCTTACAATCACTGTCATAGACAACAGCCTCCTAGTCAATGAATTCAGGAGCTAAAAACCGCAGTCATGCTGAAGTCACCTTTTTTCTAAATTAGCTGCAAAGTGTTATGTTCTCCAATTTCTTTTTACCTATTAAAATAAACTTTTTGTAATGTGTACTTTACTGATAAGCAAAATACACTGGCAATCTATTGCATATAATTTCTTAATATCAGTTAAAGCACCCTTAAGAGTTCGTACTCAGAACAATATACAGAAGCCAGATGGTAAACCAGGTATACCTCTGGTACTGCCACACAGATATCAAGAAAGATATGCAGCTGAGACTAGAAAGATAACATGAATAGTGAGCCAGTAATGGAAAGTCCTAGCAGATTCCATAGCCAGTGTCCAGAAGCTAAACAAAAAGAAACTAGCCCTACTCACCTCATCATAGTGGCTCTTGGCAAAAAGCAGTGCACACAGTTCCCCATAGAGTGCTGCCTTGTTTGCTTGCTGACCGTGTTTTGCAAGTTTGTCCATGTAAGACTGAGCCAGTTTGAACGTTTCTTCTCCCAGGTGATATTTACAGTTGCCATTTCGAACATGGAGCAACCTTGCAAAGATGTAAAGAGATGATCTAATCAGTGTTTGAATAAAACATTTCATTATGCTGCAGCATCATTGATCTACAATCTGGTGTTGTACTTAGAATAGAATCGGGCTACCATCCCAGGAAAACTGCACTGTCTGAATTCAGTAATACAAAAGAATTGTTCATAGAAATTTGTAACAGTATTCCACACTTTGCACCTTGCATGGCAAGAATTTTTACTGTTGGAAATTTCAAATGATTTTTTCATGTCGATGAAGTTCTGCATATCCAATGCTCAAACCACTTCGGTGCATGTGGCTTTGTTTTGTTTTTCCTAATGTCCATTCTCAACACTGATAAAATCTTATTTCCCAAACTCAGTAACATATGTTATTAAATCCCTTCTACCTCCTTTCCAAAACATGGTAAACTGAAACTGACAAAAAGTACAAACTCTTCTGCATGCATCTCTGCATTTTGTCCTCAGTCCTTAAACATCACGATGTATCATAAATAATTTTGCAAGAGATTCCATTATATCCATTCTATACAAGAAAACATCTGGAAGTAATGTCATTCTCTGGGCCACCAGGAAAGATAGAACAACGCTGTGGGATGGCATTAGCACCCAGGCATAATTCATAAATGGGGCTGAAGAGGGATATTTTGAAATGCATTCAATATTATTTATGTAGTAGTGTTCACTCTGAGGCAACAGCCCAAGCAACTTTAAGTTCAGGAACAGCAGGACAGCTAATCTTTAGCTGTCGTAATAGTTTCTTGGATTGACAACCTTTAAATGCTAGAAGAAAACATACATACCTAAGTGTTCATAGATAAGCAACACTAACAGGGAAATTTTGGATTAAAGAAGAGCAATAGTACTTAACAACAGCTAATTTTAGTGCTGTCCAACAGGAATGCAAGTAGTAAGAAGGCCAGTTTTGAAGGAATAAGGAAGCATATCTTCCAGATTGATCTAGTGCCATCCTGACAATCCATTCTGGATTTACAGTTTTGAAAGTTTTGATCCTTTGATACTCAGTACTGAATTAACATAAGACAATGCAGTCATCACAGTTCACAACAACTCTAAACAGCTTCCTTTACTCCCACTCCCCTATTTCTTAACACCACCTCTTTTTCCATCTGAAAGATTAACAGAAGCTTCAGTATATGGTGAAAAACAGACAAGAAAACACAGCAGTATTGAAGCACACACTGTTTCTCCGAACAAGTAACTATTTCAGCTTCTGGCTACTACTTAGAACAAAAGTAGAGAAGATTTTTGTTATTGAAAACTGATGCTTATTTACTTTAGAGAGATGCATTCGAAATGTGCGTGCCATCATATTCCAAGCCTAAAGGGCAGAATTGTATTCCTACTCCATTGTAGGCAAAGAAAAGAGACAGCTGTTCCCTTCCTATTGCAAATGCCTGTCATTTAGCACATATGAAATTTTGGTAAACTAACTTTCATTGTCCCTTCCGGAGATCTGTTATTAGACAATGAGTAATAGAGATTGAAAAACATCAGGGAAGCTTTTGTAAGTCAAGAGGACAACATAACAGGAAAAAAAAACACAAAGTAAAGCAAATCAGAACATAATACTTTACAGTAAAGAGATCCTAAATTCTAAAAATATGAGCTAACATGTAGGTGCAATATTTTATACCTTGTATGATACATTATGACAAATCTTCCAATAAACTAATAGGGGAAGGAGTGAACAAGTAAGATCTCTCATCAGTGTTTCTCTTTTCTAAACCTGTTTCCTATAGTCTTGTTTCCTTTTCTGTATTTGGAGAAGGTGAGTTTATTTTTAAGGAAGTTTCTCCAGCATGCCAAACAATCAGACAATTCTTTTGATTAATCATAAGTCAAAGGATCAAGTGCTGACAGTAGTACTACAGCTAGCATTCTTCTATCCTAGGAAGGTATACATACATGCCCAGCCTCTCATAGCATCACCTTGTTTCTGGAATGAAAGCCAGTGGTGCAGCAGAATACTGAAGAGAGTATCTAAAGCTCCATGACTCATATTAGTAGTACATATGAATAAATACTTCTCAGTAAGACACATGGGAATTAAAGGTAAGCTCACCTTACACAACACTCTACTGCACGAAACCAATGAAGAATTTCATCGTGAAGGGTGCACAGCTGAAGGCAGGAAAGAAATACCTTCTCAGCATCACTATACCATCCTGCATCTGATAGGAACCCTCCTGGAAAAATCAAGAACAAACAGAATTTTGAACAGTGCCTTTCTAGGAAAAAGAATTCGCTCAGATCATCCAAGAGCTCTTATTTTATTACAAATAAATATGAATACAGGAGTGCAGTATTCCCTATGCCAAAATACAGGAAGTCATTGCTAACAGCTTAGGGGGAACGTAGGCAGTGAGAGCAAAGGAAACGTGTTTTACAAAGCACCATAAAATTGCATGCTGTACATAGGAGTTCTGTCAGAGCTAACCCTGCAGTCCTGAATGTGAAACACGAGCAGAAGAATTCTCCTCAGCTGAGCATGACTTCCAGTATTTCAGTTTTTCATTATGAAGTACTTGCATCAATACTAGAAATACGCAAAGTCTTAACATTAATTATCACGTTTATAAATTTTATATTTGAAACATCTGAAATGGCAGAGAGCAGCCTAAAATTTTTAGGTATTTAATTGTAATATATATGTAAGCCACCAAGTGGCTTCCTAAAAACGCATATTCCAAACACACACACTCTCAGAAAGAAGTTACAAAGAGGGAAAAAATAGCATTAGCCTAACTGAAGTTGTCACAAAGAAATATACTTTACAGTCTATGAATACCAGTTACCTAGAACAAAACCAATCTGGATTGCTTTTTCTTTTACAGCAGAATCTGATTCTGCTATGTAGGAACATCGTCTGCTGAAAGAATACGCCAGTACAGAAGCAACTTTTACTCCATGGTCCATCAAAGCCTGAAAACAATGATGAAGCAGATGCCTGAAACAAAAGAAAACAAAACTTGTTATGCGTAAAGTTTTTAAAACAGTGCAGTCAGAGCACCATGGATACAAACGAGTAGTGACTCAAGGAAATAACTCCAGCCTTCTCTCAAACCAAAAGCAGACGAATACAAGCAGAATTAACAGTCTCAAGGCTAATGGGTTACAGTTGTTGGATTACACAAAAAATAAAAGGAGCGTACACACAGTTCTTTACAAGGACACCCTCTAGAATAAGCAAAATACAAGTTGCCCACACACTGTTACAACTGGAAAACAAAGCTTTCTGTTTAGACTCTGTGGGTGGGGAAGCCTCAAAGCCCACCCCTGCCCTGACTCACACTAAAATGGCAGATAAATGAGCAGTGACGAACGCATTAACATCGCATACACACAAACAAGGGGAGGGAGATACTAAAGATGCAAAGCTTATCCTGGTAACAAAGAATCTGATCTGACATCTTCTAGATTCAAAACTCATATCAAGAACTAAGGGCTGAAATGAGCACTATCAATATAGGAAGATACTTACCTTTTATCTAAAGCTCGCAGCACCTTTGCAAAAACTTCTAGTTCACAAAATTCACTCCCCAGTTGGCATAAGCGGCCCTGTTGGTAAAGCTGAAAGAAAAATACAAATATATTTAAAATTTTAAGACATGTTGCTCTCCTGGGAAATGTAGCTCACCAGAAAGAATGACTTATGAATTCTAGAGCTCAAAGTACAGAAGAGTAAATATTAAAAAAAAGAAATAGTTTCACTATCTCCACAAAGGAGAACAACTTCAGTGGCAAAACTTAAACACACAAACTATAAGAGCTCTATATTTGGTTTCAATTTATTTTTATCCGTTCTTTTCTTCCTCCCTTCTTCAGACATTCATTACATCTACCTGCATCATTAAAACGTTGCAACTCCTAAGCTAGAAAACAGACAAAACAAAAAAACCTACTAAATTTAATGAAAATTATAACAAATGGCTTCTTTGATATCAGATCAGATGCTTTTTTTTTTTTTTAATTAAAGAGAATCTATCACAGAGCTGTGTGAAGGGATTCTAGATGATTTGTAAGCAGAAATGCAAAGCCAAAGCCTAAATTCAAATAATTGATTGTGATCCTACAAAACTCCAGCCTCTGTTCAGAACAAAGGCCGAAGCAATGAAATTATATATCCAAGAAAACAACCCCAAACCCACAAGTTCTGCAATGGATGACTCACCAATACCCAGAGCTAAACACAAGCGTGAGCCCTGACCCCATTAATATGTGAGCTTATATGAATAGTTCCTGCTTGAATAAATGGGAACGTTCCTGAATTTATTAAAAGCAATGCCTGGTTTTATGCTGAAACCAATTTCTATCTGCAGATAAGCAAATATATCAGTTAGCTTGTTCATAAAAAACAAACCATGGAGACAGTTCTTTGTGCAAAGCACAGCTAAGAGCAGAGCTCCCTGCTACGTTATGCTATAAATACCGAGAATTTACATAGGTGCAGAAGTGGTTGCGCAAATATATAGCAGAAAAATCCATTGGGGCTGTTAAATCCAGACATCCCAAAGTCCCTGAACAACCAACAGCAAAAAGTAGGGTATGCAGCCAGAAAGCAGCATGGTCCACTTGCCCCAGTCAGCTGGCAGCAACCTCTGCCAGCAGCACAAGGCGGGTTGTTCAGGACTGTTGTGTCACAAGCATTTGTTATTTCAGGTACTGTAGGCAGCATTCCTTCATATTTTTATTATTTAAAACCTTTTTGCAAGGCAGCAGCTCTATGAGGAAGGAAAAACCAACAGCTCACATCTCAAACCTTCCCAGATGCTGCCTCTCACACCACTCGCCATTCCAGAGCCATCTCTGTCCTTTCTCCTACCTGCACTGTGTGATGGCAGGACACCAGCACACACACACACACACACCAGGGTGTGCACTCACGCTTCACACCATCACAGGTGTGCAGGTAATGCACTCTAACAGTTACTCAGAAAACCAACACCACAACATTCCAACACAAACTGTCTAAGACCAGAGCACTCCTATCAGCAGCAAGGCACTCCAGGCTATTTCAGCAGGGTTTAGAGCTACGAGAAACTCTGAAATGAGGAGTCAGCCACTCTCACCATGTAAGCAAAAAATGAGAGAGAGGAGTTATTTACAGATAGAACGCTCAGATACAAACACAGATTTAATAAGAACTTCAGTTTTTGAGTTCTAATCATTTCTTTCAATACCTTTATAAGTGCCATTTATCTGGAGCATCATTTTAACCACAAGCCCAGGAGGCAGGTCAATGAGTACTCCAATCAAGCATGTAAAACATTTCCAGCCAGAAATTTCTTTTTTGTCAATGCTCCTTATGAAGCATATGACAATGTTTCTGCAGCACAAGTTTGTTATTTTAACAGAACCTACAAAAAAAAACTTCAAAAGTTCTTTAACCTAAAAACATCAATTGCCAGAGATGAATGTTTTCCTTTTAGTCAACTATTTCACTGGAAAAAATAAAAAAGGAAGTCTTAAACAGTATCTGCATGAAAAGTTGTTCCTCAGATAAAGCAGTAGCCATACATACAGCCATGGCCCTGTACTGGAAACAAATCAGAGCTGGAGTGTTTTTCCCCACTGAAAACACCGTGGCAGTGAGGGGGAACAGGGGATGCCCCAAACCACACCCTCATCTTTCACACATCTCTGATTTTGGGTCCAAAGGTCCGGACCTGCTCCTCACGCACCTCTCCCCAGTTCAGCCCTCCTAGTTTTTCCTGGTATAACCAGAAATACAGCATCCTCAGAACATTTACCACACCACTCACCCCTTCCCTCGACATGCTGGCAAGCACTTGAGGAACTAACTCTGCCTGAAGTCTCTTCAAACTGTGATAGCTGTTACAGCAATAGTTTCAAACAGAATTGGACATGGAAATAGTGAGACTACGTCAAACTGTGAAGCAATTCCAGAAGGTTCAGTAACTCTCATTTGCTCATTGAGAAGCAGTTGCAAGTACTGAAGAAATGATTCTCTTGTTAAAGCTCCAGAGACAGAATTCTTGACCACAAGCCTTGCTACATAACACGAAAAACAAAACAAAAGAGTGATTCAAGAAAAACGGGCCCCAACAAGAAAGGAAGAAGTTTGGATTCCTGAAAAACTACTCTACTCTTAAGAAGGAAGAAGGTTTTATTTGAAGGTTACCAATGATTTCTTTCTTTCTTTTTTTTTTTTTTTCTAACTATAGAAAGACACATAAGAACATACAGTATGACTTCCAGCTTATACTGCTCAAATCGACATTAAGTCTGTCACTGAAGACATGAACTAAGGAGCACATTTCATGTGCTGGCTTGCTATTACGCAGCCCAACTGTTCTGTACAGCTGTGGGAAAGCCACCGTGATGTCCTTCAGGAGCTAAGGCTAACAGTGACTTACAGAACTTTCTCCTAAGCATTCAGAAAATGCATATAGAAGTGTCTCCAATTAAACATATTGATAACAGTAGCTTGTAACTTATCTACTGTCATATCATCATGCATATATAATTATTTGTGAGTTCTTGCCAGAGCTCTCTCTCAGTAGGTTAAGTTGAGCTTTGATTCTTAGCAAACCCTTAAAAACAAAGACAGAGACATCCAACCACAGAGAAAGTGGTATTTTTATTTTTTTTTTTTAATCACCAACATTCTCCACTGTGCACAAATGTAGGAGCAATTACTTTTTCTAAGCCTCTTCATAATAAAGATGAACTCTAAGCAGTTGTAAAAGGACCATAAGAATTGCAGTGCTTTCAGTGAAAGAAAGAAAAAAGCTCCTATTGCTCCAGTTTGGAAGAGGTCTGAAAAAAAAAAGAATGGACATTACAGAAAGAACTAAAGCTGCAAGAACTCCCAAGGAGCCCCCCCAGCATGATTAGTAATGCCCAATAATACAACATGGACTACTATACTGAATTTAGGGAGGATTGCATATTTAAACAACAAAATCTGTATTTAGAAAATAAGTTTGGCTGCAACCACCGACTCCCTTCTCTACTTCACACAGAAGGAAAAAGATCTTTTGAAGTCAGTGCACTGAATCAACCCATTGAGAAACGACTCTTGAAAAGCCCTGGGGACAGCTGGGGGACAAGCTTAGAAAATAATCTGTTATAAATCTGGGTACTTTCATCTCGTATAAATCTATTTCAAAACTATCTATGGAGCTTCTGGATGAGACCAATTCCACCCTGATATTGTTTGGGGCTTTAAAAAATAAATCAAACTTCACAGCTCTTTTTGAGAACCATGCTTCCAGTCAGGAAGCTCATCCTAAAGAATCTCAAGAAATATAAACAAACACCCCTGCATTGAATAAGCCTAATTTAACTGATAACTTTGGGAGCTTATGCTCTATATGCACAGCATGCTTCACACTTTCACTCACTGCTCTTCCTGTATCACATCAACAACATAGGGTTTTTTTTCTGATTTACTTCCACAGAGAACCCTGCACAAGAGTACACACACCCATAGATTCTCTGCAGCAAAGAAACAATACATTTTCAATGTGGTTTGCTTTGACTGAAGTTCAGCCAGTACAGACAAAATTAAGTGGAAACAAGAATTATTGTTTCAGCAGTAGTTGGACACTTTTCTCATGGTATTACCTCATTGTCTGAGTTATGAGTTTCAGTGTCTAAGATTCAACAAGGACACTGAAAAAAAAAAATAGGTGAGCCAAGCATATCAGGATTAGAAAACCACACAGAGATTCAAGGAGAAAAAAGCAAAACAAAGAGCAAACTAAATAGCAAGACTCTGAAGAATGGTAAGCAAGGCAGGGAGCTGCAAACTAAAGACATAACAGTAAGATGTTTCGGCTCTGGTAAGACTACAGATAAGGTATGTAATAAAATAAAGAGAAATAATAATTGGACTAAAGCTTGTGGCATGATGATTCTCCTTCACTTGGAGGATTTAAAGAGGGGAGCGATAGATATGATTGAATTCAAGCAGTAATCAGACATGTCCCACTGAATGCACCAGTCTAGAAGTCCAACCAGATCACAGTGCCTGTATGTGAGTGCACAAGAAAATCATGCTTGTTTTCCATATACACGTTTAATTTCTGATGCCCAAAGGCATAGCAGGATGAAAGGAATTAAGCCTTTGTGCAGTCACACCAATCAGTCACTGCAGGAACCCTACAAAGCACAACCCACTTGCTCTGGATTTTCTGCCTTCCAAGACACACTGCTTTCTGTGACCTTGGTTGTACCCTTCTGGTCGGAAAGGATTCAGAACTACATGAGTACAGCTACACTTCATCTCACAGGAAGCCTATCCTTTCCTCCCTCATCACACAGCCAGGAGCACAAAGCCTTAGGACAGACCAGATTCGCTCCATAAGGTCAGAAAAGGATGCTTGTAATCATCCCTCATCAGTAAAAGTCATCTCTACTGCAATGCACAGAACAGACATTCTATCGCGCATTGCCAAGTGTCAGCAAATTCCTGCTTACTCATTTTGCTTGGTTCAAAGAATAACTAGATGCAATACGAGCACTTCTATTAGCCACACTTCTCTTTTTGGGGGGTTAGCAGAGTGCAGTGGGAAGACAATTCTCCAGCTACACACTTTCCAGAAGCTGGAGATATCAGGATATAAATTTAAAATCTGTGTTTTGATTCACATCAATATAGGAGAAGTGTGGAAGTTTCATCAGCTGTGTCAAATGCAGAAAAAGCATGATTACGGCCTTTTGGATTTGCCTAATTTTTTTTAATACAAATAAGCATAGCACAATTACTAAGTGTTATGGGCCCCCACCAAGTGTCTGAAATAAATTGTCATCTCCAATTGTTCCTGTGGTTAATGATCTCATCAGAAAATATTCAAGGAACATTGGATCCAAGTGACTTTCAAGAAAAATCAATGTGAAAAAACACAGCACACAACCCATACAGGACATTTCAGAAGAACATTACATGAAACTCCTTGTTACCTATCCAGTGTAAACCCAGCATCAGCTTGCTGCATAAATACCTACAATAGAGAACACTCTGACTAATGAAGCACTGTCCCTCAAATACAGCAGGAAAACATAAGAACAAAAAAATACACAGATTATGCATAACAGAACAAAGCTGAAGTACAGGGAAAAAACTTCTGTGTAAGACATTAACTGAATGATCTTTGGACTGCAGAGTTCAATGTCCTGTTTTTGTCAGAAAGTGCATTATTCGGATGAACTCCCCCTCTGTAAACACCAACCTTTCTCCCCAGAAGACACAAAACAAAATCATTTGATTTCCCAGATGTTGGAGTGGTTTGGTTTTTTTTTCTTTTTTTTTTTGGGGCTCCTATTTATTCCAGTTATCACCTACTTTTTAAATAAATGAAAGCGTGGCATTTACCACTGCAGGCCAGCTGCCAGGCATGCCCTGTTTGTGTTTCAACTGCGATGCAGCACATTTCCTTCTTCAGCTCCTAAGCACAAGGCCTCCCCCTCTCTTCCTCATAAAGATTATGAAAAACAAACCAACGAACCACTTTTACTAGGAAACAGCACACCAGGATATACGTTAACCTAGTGAAGACACAAAGGAAACAAAATACACTACATTTGCATATTTTTTTCCAGATCTGGATGCTGCTTGCAACAATATTAGTTATTAACTCTTCCAAACACAGGTGTGACAGGACTTACTTTTTTCTTGGACACCCTCATGAGTGTTTTGCCCAGTCTCTATTAATTCTCTGATGGTTGCAAGGAAAAGTCAATAGGCTTTTGATACAAAAAATTAAAAAAATAAAAATAAAAAATCCAGTAACGCCCTGGCCCTGGCTAAATCACTACAGATTTACTTTATTGCAATCATGATTATTTATTTTTTATTTTTAAAGTTTTTGTCATTGTTAAGGATAAATACACCCAAGGATAAATACACTCAGTACCAGGAACCTGCCTGCTCCTGTCACAGTGCCACAGAACCTATTTCTTACTGATCCCACAGCAAAGAGCACTCCATACCCATTTCTTGTTTGGTTCCTTCCTGTAAACTGGGAACACATGGGTTTATAAAATGCGTCCTAGACATCAACAGCTCTGGAATCTGTACAGTTGAAAGCAATTGGGCTGGTTAATGAATGGGAAATAAAGGTGATACACTATCACAACACAGCCAAGCGCTGAAGCAGAGGGTACCCTGGTGGGAACAACACAAGATGAGGACTTCCTCAGGTGGCTCTTACCTCCCTTTCATGTAACTTGCTGGCCATTTCCACCATCGTAATAATGTCATATCCTTCCTCTGTCATCTTAATGAATGTAACAAGGCTGGCAGACTCTGTAAACAACACTGGCAAATGCTAATTTCAAGTGTTCACACCAATGAATGCATTTAAAGAATTTTCAAGTTCTGTATGGCCACAACCAATTAACATCCCCAGCGAGTGTCAAAAGAAGATCCGACTAATGCTTCCTTTTAGTCTTGCAAAGTGGCACTTTCTCCAGTATCACAAGTTGTGAGTAATACAGCATTTCTTGCAAGTTGGATGTGAAAGACTGAAAACATTTCTATTCCTTTCAATAAACACCAGAAGACCCTCCAGCTTTCACAAGGTCTAAATGCAGACACACTTGTGCAAGTACTACACACCAAACTTTCCTCAGATGTATCTAAAGAATAAGTACTGCTCCATGTAACACCAACAACAAACTGACAGCATTTCATCAGCCACAAAGATGCAGTCACAGAACAAAGATTTAGAAGAATTCTAGCTTGTCTCCTGGTAAGAATTGGTAGTGGTTTTCGGAAATCCTACTTCTGGCTTAAAGAGCTCATTGTCAGGATGTCCTGAGCATACACATACTAACCTACAACGGTGTTTAATGTCTGCGCCTTTTTGAAAAGCACGGCAACTGTGCTCAAAATCAAAAAGCAAAACAAGCACCAGACACAGCACACAGGGAACTGCTCAAAGGGTGAGGCAGAACCTCCTCCCAGACTAGATCACCAGTATCATTTGTATTCCTATAGCCATCCAAATACAGAAATTAAGAACCAGCACTCAGTATCGTACAGGTGCATAGAAAAATGCAAGCACTGTTCCAAAAGATTTCTCTGAGCTATGCTTTGAGGTGCTGGCTGAAAGCAGACACCTCTGCATGCAGAGCACCATTCAGTCAGGACTACACTTGCTTTCAACACCCCAGCCAAGATTAAGTTATATTTATATATTAACTAATTTAAATGCAACCACTGAAGACAACGTATTCCCCTACAAGACCACCCAGAAGACTATCTTACCATTGGTAGCACTGGCACAACACTCAAACTACACCACGTGTTTGTATTTACGCTGCAGACACTACAGAGATGTATATATACCATTATAGGTGCACCTTACACAGTTCAGATTATCAAGAATCAGCCTGTTGTAAAATACAGGAAAAACAATAATACCAATTATCATGGTTAACAGAAATTATGCTGGCTAGTGTTTGGTTGTACTAATCAGGTCCATAGTATGTTTGTTACCACCTCCTGAACAAAACAACGTGCTGCTTGTTACATGAGCAGAGCAAATAGATCTAAAAGTCTCTTCAGAACTCAAATCTATTTCTGGATTATTTTTCATTATGAAAAAACACCAAATGAATCTGATACAGTGTAACAACTGAAGAGCGTTAATAGAAGTATATGTGACCTATTAAGGTCACCTGTGGATGAGTTCTTAAAGAAATCGGGAATAACACATGCTTGGGTATCACCAACTTCTGAAATACTTTTTATTTTTTAAGCCCTTGGGAACCATCCTTCATCTGTATGAATGTCGAGACAGACAATGCCAGTGTCAATGGCCATCCCCGCCAACATTTGAAAATAAGTCTCAGAACGTTCTCCCATGTTGTAAGTCCCATATCCATAGGGTTATCCACTGATAGCTGCATCTCAACCACCTCACCTTCCCAAGCACGCTCACAGTGGCAGAGCATTTCCCACACTTCCCAGCTCTTAAGAGGAGCAATGGACGCCCAGGGTGCAGAAATGTACCTGTGTGTTTCAACTGGGTAGAAACAGTTTCTCTGTCTCCAGGGATGATCAGCATGCCTTCTAAATACTGTTTCTGCACCAACGTTGAATGGGCCACTACTCCTGGTTCACAAAGACTTATCCAAAAAATTACTTTGTTTCCCACACCCCAAGTTTTTAGAGCTCAACTGGCAGAGGAAATGAAGGACATCTCCCACCTTTTTTTTTTTTTTTTTTTTTAAATACATTGAGCCTCTCCTGGTGAATGCTTATTTCCAGTGGTTCCCACAGATGGATGAAATGCCTGGTTGGTGGACGATAGAGACTCAGGGACCATCTCAGCACACCCCTTACTGTAACTCAGGGTATTTTAGGGGCAGCTCAGTGAGAAACACGCAAAAAAAAATGACATAAAGCTGATAAACGGCACCATTTAAAGATCCTCAATTCCTTTCACCTGGTTCCAAGCAGACATTAAACGAACAAGAGCACAGCAGACCCAGCAACCTCCACCACAAACATCACCTTCTGCAACACGGGGGGGGTGGAAGGAAGGAAAAAGAAGAAACCCCGCACAGCCCGACACAAACCCGCGCTCCCAGCCGCCCCGACCTCTTCCCCCCCAGCCTGCGAAGCGCCTCCACCCACCCCGAGGCCTCACTCCAAGGGCAGCCCCGTCCCCCCCCGGACTCCGCACAGCCCCCTCCTCACGCGCGGCCCCGCAGCCCCTCGTTCCCGCCCTCCGACCTTCGGGCCCGGCGGCACCGTAGGAAGCGGGCCGTGCGCTCGGCGCTCCCCACAGCGAAGGCCCGGCCCCCCGCTCCCCAGCCCCGCTCTCCTTCCCTCTCTACCCCTCAGGCCCGGCCTCCCTCAGCGCCCCGCCGCCCGCCCCACCTTGTAATACACGTCGAACTGGATGTTCTCGGGCAGCGAGCGGATGTCCCGGCGCCGGGCCCGCCCGTAACTATCCACCACGGCCGAGATCGCCGTGTTATACAGCGTCTCGGGCACCCACTCCAGCTCCACCGCCGCCATCTTGGGTGTGCGGAGCCGCCTTCCCCCCACCCCCCGCCCGGCCCGCTCCGCCTCGCGGCTCCCGCAGCCCCACCGGCAGGGAGGAGGGAGGGAGAGGCGGCAGGAGCGGGGACGGCGGGGGGAAGAGAGGAGGCGAGGGGTTGAACTGCCTGCGATGGGGAGGCGCGAGGAGCGAACGCGGGACGGAGAGGGGAGGAAGGAGGGAAGGGTTGCGGCGTGTGGGGGTGCGAGGAGCGGGCTGCGGGGCTGCGGCTGTAGCGACCCTGCGGCCCCGGTGGGGCTCGGGATCGGCGCGGGGCGGCAGGGCGGGCTCCGAACGCTCCCTCACAGCGCCTGCCCCCCCCCCGGCCATCGCTGAGGGACGGCCGTGCCCGCGGCTCGGAGCCGCACCTGAAGCTCATCGCCTGTCCGAAGGGCCCCGTTGGTTGCTATGTGCTAAAAGCGCCCTTTTCTCTGTGTAAATTAACCCCACGTGCAAGTAGCGCTGCGTTTTGTCAGCGTCTCGTTATCTTTCGGGCTGATTTGCTTTCCGCACCAGGGGCGTTGCGGGCAGCCGCAGCTGGGAGCCCTGGTGTGAAGCAGCCCGGGGGAACGCGGCGGGATCTCAGGGCTCAGCACTCCGTGTAGAACTCGATACTCGACTTAATGCTTCACTTTGCCTGCTATTCCCCCCCCCGCCCCTATCAAGGGTATAATTCTTCGTCACTTCATTATAGAAAAAGCGTTATGGGGCTGGGAAGAAATGAACGTGGCAGTGAGGAACCTGTTGCCTATCTGTGTCTTCAGGTGTTCTTTAATTGTTTTCTGAGCTCTGGTGGCTTGCTTTCATTTGGGGAAAGGCAGCTGGCTGCTGTTGGCAATTGCCCCCCCCCGGGGGTGGAGGTTGTTTACCTCAGTCAGCTGCTGGAGTAGCTGGGAGACTTTGGAGGCCTCTCAGGGTAGCACAGGTAAGGCAGATTTCTGCACTATTCTGGAGAAGTATTTACGATACCTAAGAAACTGTAGTTCTTGTAATTAAGATGCTTTTTGTTTTGCTTTAAAATTGAATAGTAAGGTAATAATGTCTATAATCAAAGCACATATAACTTCTAAGAGAGTGCTATGGCAGTAGACTGGTTTATTATTATTATTATTAATTTTTATGAAGTTACTGTGCCTTAAAAGCTAAGTAGCAATTTGTTACTGTGTAAGTTTGTTTGTAACAGGTGTATCACAGGCATGCTGAGGGGGGGAAATACATGTCTTGGTGAAGGAGGACACAGCAGAAATGCTCTCTCTCTGGAGTATGTTGTTATGTTTGCATTCTGTAACTAATTTTGATAAAGCCTGGAGAGCAATCTTTGTGGCTAAAGAGCTTTAATCTCTAGATAGGAGTAAAATTCAGCTATGGTAGCTTTTGTTATTTATTAGTATTGTAGGTTTTAATATATCTATCTATTAAACAATTTGGTAATCCATTGTAGGTGCGTATTTTGTACTTAAAAGCATTCACAGAGCATTGGTAAGTCCTCAATTCAGTGTGTGTTTAGTGTTGAGATGATAGATAACCATTTGAAGTAACATACAGTTAATTGCATGCTACTTCAATTTTTTTCCTTAAGCAAGTGAGTTTTCCAAATATAGTTATACTTATGTGGTGCTTTGTTCATTGCATGGGTCTGTTTGCTTCAGCTGTGCTGTGAACTTAGTAGCTAAATGGCGCTGTTCAGTGATGTGCTCTTCACATCCGTATATTATTTTAGTGCAATTACTCATTAGTAGTTGCAGATGTTAAAAGATCTTTCTGACTTTAGCTCTTGCTGGCAGAGGTTCTGATGGTTGTTTTTTTATCTTTGTTGATATCTTTTTCTATCCTTTTGTCTTTTTTACACAGGGAAACATTTAAAGAACTTTTACAAATATGATGTTTGAAAGCAAAATCACAATGTATGTTGTTTAGGCAAAAGCATTCAGTCACTCTGCCTTGTATAATCTCAGCTTTTGAGGATGCATCTGTGTGTCTGAAGGACTCACATGTAAAGCGTATGGAGTGCAGTGGCTCTGTACATCTGTGTGTCATCGTAGTGGTCGGGGATGCAGACAAGGCTGTGTGATGGGTGAACATATAAAGAAAATTCAATCACAGTCTTCTATTATAAAAACTGACCCTGGAGATCAAACAACCTATTGATTATCCAGATTTCTTCTGTAGAAGAAGTTCGTACAAAAGAGCCTTTACATCTGCAGGAAAAAAATGGCTCTGTAATTTTAGCAGAACACAGAGCTTGATGTGACGCTGTACTGTGTTACAAAAACAGACTTCAAGTCTCCTTTAAGAAAAAAGGAAACAACAGACAGCTGTAGGTACCAAGCTGCTTTTCTGTACAACAGTGTATCACTGAAGTTTGCTTTACTAGAGCTGGTACGTAACTTCCAAACTGGTACCTGAAACCATGATTTAATGACTTTAAAAGTCATTCAGCCTGCAAAGCAGTACAAAAGGCAGCAGCATTGTCTCTGTCTCTCGGTTTTTGATGTGGCTAAGCTAGGAAGAGTGAAAAAAAAAAAAACATATATATATGGTGTAGATTGTTATTTCAGCCAAATTGGGAACTTTATGTTTATTAGAGCAGCAAGATTGCATTTTTTGCTTCTGCTTTTTGTTCTTAGGTCAGTCTAAGTTAACTGTAGTTTCACCTAATTCCTTCTCATCTGGAATTTGTTAGAAAGCATTTGTGTGATGAGTTTTTTTTTGGTGGTTAAGCATAAATTCTCATTTTTATTAGGAAGGTGGTAAATATTTGCAAATATTTTCGTTGACCCAGTAAGGAACTGAGGTGGAATGTCTCTTTGCAGATGCTCTCAAATCGTTTTGTAGGTGTGCTGTAATACTATTACTACTGCAATTACCACTTCATTTCAGAGTCAAAAGAATAACCAGTGATTTAAAGTTGGAGATCTGTAGATGAGAAGTAAAGTACCATCTCTGTTTTGCAGGAATGTGATTCTATAAAGCATGAATGAGGAGGATCCGATCTGTTTCCTATGCTGCCATGTTTGCCTGCTTTCATTAAAGGTAAGGTCACGTCACAGAGCAGAAATTTGTTTGTTGGATTGCTGTGTTTATATAGGTGAAGTTCAGCATGGATGCAGTTGAAAAAATCAAAAACTGATGGTGGATTTATGTTTCTTACAAGATTTAAGGAATCGGCTACCATAGCCTAGGCTTTTTGGTTTAGACTGAGTATTCTCATTTTGTCACAGCTTAAATGAGAGGCTGCACAACTGAACAGCTTTATTTTCTTAATTGTTGTAGCTGGATGTACTCAGTGGGGGGGGACTGGGGGAAGTTCTAAGAACAAAAAAAACCTGGTGACTTTTCCTGCAGCGTGCCTATTTTGAAGTGGGAAGGAAGTGAACTGACATGGATAACATATGAACCTTCTACATCTCCTTGATGTGGATATTATAGGAACCTTGAAAATAGTTTATGGGGAAGTTGTTGGAGGCTTCTAATTTTAAATTCGTAACAGGAAATCATTGAACTGTAGAGGAGCCAACATAACAGACTGTTACTCTAAAACAAGAGCTAAATGCAGAGCATTCGCATGAACTTGTCAGATCTTTTTTATTGCTGTTTCATTTTTCCTTTGATGTTTACTGCAACCCAGATAAATACTTTTTTGGTTTTGCATTCTTCATCTATACCAGTTAATTAGTCACGTTTCAGATGAAATGTTAAAGCGATGCCTCTATGGTCATACATCAGTGGAAATGAAGAAATTGAGGTTGTAATCCATCAGCTTCAGAGTTTAAGTCCTTGCATGGTCAGGTCCTGCACTCCTTCATTGACAAAAGCTTTTCAAATGTGGGAACTGCTCAGTTTGGTTTTCTTTTTACCTTTGTCGTGCTTCATCTGAGGTTGCTGCTGAGATGACAAATGCTTTTCTCATGGGTTTTGATTCTGTCAGCATGGTTTCGGAGCTTAATTAGGGGTAAGAAGAAGGAGAGATGATGATGTGTCTGTGAGCACTAAGGCATGATGGTTGGTCACCAAAGTTAGCTGAGGTGCTTTACAAAGAAAGGAGACTTCACGAGCTTGCGTTAGCTGCAGTCAGATGGATAGTGCTGATCTCTTCTACTTTGTGGTTGTGAGCTGAAACATCTGAGTATTAATAATTTTCTTTTTCATGTCAGATGAAATTAGTCATGGCTTTTACAAAACATAGCTGTGCAACTTTAAACCATTCTGCTAGGAAGGAGAGGATAGGATGCTGGCCACCTAGTGATGGCTTGTGCTGTGGAATTATGATGAATTTGAATGTTCCCACGTTGATTCTTTTTATTGTCGTCTTATATGTAGCTGAGGGAAAGGCAAACTGCAATGAAAAAATGTTAGTATTTGTGTGTGCCTTCTTCCCTGACTCTCCTACTGAGAAGGTAGGCTTGTTTGCACACTTTGCTGAGTGTAGGCCCATAAACTGATTTCACAGGCAGTGCTGTGTGAAGAGCAATGCAATGTGTTGGTGCAAAATGCTTTTCTGGTTTTTCTGTCTCTGTGCCTCTCTTCTCTTCGCTACTTCAGATCCAGGCATGTGATCCTGTCTGTCGTCTTCCCCTTTGTTTCCTCCTTTCTATTTTGAAGTCTTTGAGCCTGTGGATGGGTGATCCTCAAGGATATTCCATGAGATCACTGGTGGTTGTGTCTGACAGACCATGTGGTGTCTTGGTGTACACCAGAAAGCATTCCATGGAAGCAGTGTCACTTTTCTTCTGATATCAGCAACCCTAAAAGATTCATTGTGTTAAACCTGGAGCTGCTTAATCTATTTTAATGTCATCGCAGCTTTTGGCTAAAGATGGTGTCATTTTCTAACCTGTTTAGCTTAAGTCCATTTAAGATTTTTTTTAAAATACAGTTAAAAGGTAACAATTTGGCATTCACACAAAAAGTTGTCATTTTAATTATGAGAAGTGACTTAAATTAGTTGAACCAGACAAAGCAGTAATAATCTTTGTACAGATACTCTGAAATGAATTTACTTCGTTGTTTTCAGTTTTTCTTCCCTGGAACCTCAATTTTTGGATGTGTGTTCCTCTTCCTGCTTGTATCTGGCTTAGTTAAATCTCTGTTGTGAGCTAAAGAGCTTCACCGAGGAATAACAAAGAACCACCAAGTTTTCAGTTGCTGGAGGACCGGCTGGTTGTGTGCCCTGGGAAACAGCAGCGCTGTTGTTTTCCAATGCTGATTTTAGGAATGTTGTTGCATCCAAAAAAATGTACGTGTTAATGTACTGGAATTTGATCAGGCCTATGAAGGAAGGTATGATTGGTACGTGGTGTTTGACCAGGAGTCTGCCGTCATAACTACCTTTTTTCATTTCCTTGTCTTCACAAATAACATGCTATCTAGAATGTGGTTACATGAAGTACAGGGGGAGGAGTCAATCTGTTCTGGAGGGGCCTATGGTTTTCTTCTCTAGATTGGTTCGATAATTGTTACCTATATTGAACTGCAGTTCTTGGAGTGGCTCCATTTGTTTAATTATTAAATAGGAAGATTGCATTTATTCAGAAGTAATGCTGAAGACTTTAGTTGTCCCTGTGATTAAACAGAGTACAACATAAATTTAACAGCAAGTGCACCTATTTAAAACACCACGTTATAAAGCTTAAAGGAGAGGTTTGTTTTCTTTTAAAGCAGGATTTCTCAGTTCTATATTTGGCTGTTGATCTGGTGATTGATCTGATGGTATAAAGACCCGTAGAATCGGGGAGGGATAGTTATCTCATTGGATTACTGGGGATTAATTCATTTGTAACGGGTTTTCAAATCCCTAGCAGCTCTAGAAATGCAAAGCTTTCTTGATATATTTCCTGTTTTTTAAGTACTCTGACTTTGATGTGGTTAATGGAAGGAAATCCAGAGTGTTTGAGCACTTAGGCCAAAGAATTGTCAGCGTTTTAAAGAGCGGGAATATTTTTGAGAAGTTCAGGGATCGTTTCGGCTGCTTGAAGCTCATAGCGGGAAACAATATCTAGAATTTCAGCCACGAACACGGTGTGCACAGACCCTCCTGTGTGCAGGGAGCACTGGTTACGGCCTTACGCTCCGCGAACATCGGCGCTGTCCGGCGGGGCGCCGGCGGCGGGGAGCGGCGGCCGGCGGTGCTCGGGGCCGGGGCCGCACTCCCGCCAGCCGCCACCAGGGGGCGCTCGGGAGGCGCCGCCGCTCGCTGCCGCCCCTTCCGGCGGGCGGGGGCGCGGCAGGGGGCGCTGCGGCGCGGAGCGCGGCTCTCCCGCGGCTCCGACGGGGATTGTCGGGGAGCGCTGCGCGGCCGCGGCCATGCCCATGCCCCAGCGGCGCCGCCACCACCAACAATAGTGCGCGGCGGCGGCGGGGCGGCGGCCATCGCGGGCGGGGAGCGGCGGGCAGCGCCGCGCGGAGCCTCCCGCCCCATGGAGGGGCCGTACTCGCTGGGGGTGAGCGTGTACTCCGACCAGGGCGGCAGGAAATACATGGAGGACGTGACCCAGATCGTGGTGGAGCCCGAGCCGCCGGCCGCGGCCGAGCGGGGCCCCGCGCACAAAGGCGGAGCGGCGGCCGGAGACGGCGTTCGGCGGAGGGCGGGCGGCCCGCGGGCGGCGGAGGACGGAGCGCCGCCGCCCGGCCCCGGCTGCGGCTCCGGACGGCGCCCGCGGCGCTCCGTGGCCTTCTTCGCCGTGTGCGACGGGCACGGCGGGCGGGAGGCGGCCCAGTTCGCCCGGGAGAACCTGTGGGGCTTCATCAAGAAGCAGAAGGGCTTCGGTTCCGCCGAGCCGGCCGCCGTGTGCGCGGCCCTGCGCAAGGGCTTCATCGCCTGCCACCGCGCCATGTGGAAAAAGCTGCGTAAGTTCCCGTCCGGCGGCGCCTTCCAGCGCTCCCCGCTGACCCCGGCACTCCCCGCGCGGGGCCGAGGATCGCGGAGCCGCGGTTTGTTTTGAAGGAATCGCACGCCGGGTTTCCCGGTGGCGTTTATTGGGGGATTTCCGTCCCGCGGCCGCAGGGAGTCGCGTGGAACCCCTTTACGTTCTCCTCGTCGAGATCGTCACGAAAGGAAAAGTTATTTTAGCGGCCGTGTGCGGGCCGGCACGGAAGCTTCTCCCGAGCTGTCCCGGCGGAGCGCTGCCCGGCTGCGCTCTGAGTGCCGGCCGTCGTTGAGTCGCCCAGCGCTGCGCGTTGGGAGCGGCGGGGCGGCGGTCCGGGCGGCGTTGGGCACCGCGGCTGGGCTGGGCTCCCAGCAGGGTTCCCTTCTTTTGTAAGGTGAGAGTTACGGCTCAGGGTAGGGCTGGTTTTATGTATGTATACGTGGTGGCTCGATAGGTTTGTTTATAAATAAATGCGTATACGGTATAATGTGTGTTTCTATTTGCAAGTCCTAGGAAAAGATACTATGTGAATAGTGAGCATATAGGGGCAGGCAGGAGGAGAGCACAAAGTCAGATCAGAGCCATAGGTGCAGTGCTGACAGCGGGCCAGGGGAGCAAGCAGAAAGGAATTGCATTTACAGCTCAGCGGGGCTTTGAGGAAGTCAGTTGGGCCTGGGGAGAGCTGTGCTGTCATAAGTTTCGTTTTCTTTTTCGTATTTCTTGAATAGCAGAGCAGAAAAGTTGCGCAAGTGTCAGATATGGGATAGGAGTGCCAAGGTTGGGGCATGCTGGTGCTGGACCGAAAGGAGGAGGTGTGAGCTGTGGCAGCAGCACTGCCTGCAGCTGTGTGCTGGGGGTGGCGAGAGTGGCACACAGCACAGCAGTGTGGGCAGCGAGGAGGGGTTCAGTTCTCTGCCTGTGGTGTCTCTGGGCTATTCTTTGTCACCGTAACAAGGTGTAACTGCAGGATAGAGAGGGGTGGAGTGAAATGAGAGAGCGCAGGAAATACTATTTTAGTGTGTTTGGTAACAGTGCTTCAGTTGTGGAACCGATTTAAATTGTTGTCAGAAACAACACAGCTCTGGATATGAGTATATGGTGTCGGTTTTAGGTAGGTTATACAGTAAGCATTTCCATTACGTGTTTGGTAATACTGATGTCTTCTGCATGTATAGAGTTTAATGGGAGAAAAGAAAAGGACGAGGACATGGACAGGTAGTCCATCACTTGTCATGCTGTGCTTTGGAATCCTGGTGCAAAGGATGGGCTGGGTGCAGGATGGAGCCCGGTGCTTCCAGCTGATGGCACTGGAGGAGCAGCCTGTGCTCAGCTGCCCCTGGAAGCAGCGTGTCGTCCTGTGGCCATCTGTGATGAACAGCAAGTGTTAAAGTGCTGGTGATGAGTATAGCAGAAAAACTGAAACAGGAAAATACCCTTTGGTCACTACAGATGATTAGGGGGTTAATTGTATTAATGACATTCCTAATTCTCTGAATGTTAAAGGGCTTCCAAGGTAAGCGTTATGATTTGAAGCCCGTTTCCACAGATGGAAGCAGTAGGGAAGCTTTCTGTATGAAGTGTGCTCAGCAGGTCCCAGATCTTGACACTTTTAGCTATGTAAATAAACAATGCAAAAAGCTTGCTTTAAATACACTTATCTTGATACTTTTAAAACCTTTTTTTAGCACTACTAGTTAAAATGTAAAAAGTCATACATTTCTGCTGTGCTTGTAACTCTTTCTTTAAATTTAAATTGAGCAATAGAAGTCGAACAGTTTAATTTTTTTTCTGTAATAAATAGAATTATTTTTTAAATTTTTACTGCAAAGTCATGACTTCAGAGTTGTTCTTGTGCAGGCTTAAGAGTTTGTGTGCGTTCCTATCTGAAAGGGAGCTCTGCTACCTGAGGCAATACAGGCTTTCAGGATGATGTAAAAACTTCATCCTCTAGAGCTGAATTAAAAGCTCCTGTAGCATTTGCTTGTTGAAAGCTTGATAAGACTTTTGGCATCAACCTGATCTGAAATGAAATATTGTAGTTTGATTTAATGTCTTTAAAAAAGCAAAACAAAAACAAAATCCATTCTCTAGCAATCTGTGATATACTGAATAAACATTAATCTCTTATTTTGTCAAAAATATGCAGAGACACAACTTCCAGAGCCCCGTCTGGGAGCAGCCAATGTGCTTTAGGTCATCAGCCGCCCGTTGGAGGCGAACTCACTGCTTCCACCACAGCCACGTGCTTTGTTCTGTTGGAGATGTGCTTTCCAGGTGCAGGAGCCGTGTTTTGGTGTGCCAGCTGTTGACTGTGGGTTGTTAGTTTTACAATAACTTCATGCCCCGTGCTTCAGCCCCTCCAGTAGAAGAACAGTGCAGAAAGCAAGAAGCAATTGCAGTTTACAGTTCTGTGCACTGTGTGGATTTTTCTCTTGAAACTGTCTTAATACTTTGTGCACCCGCATTGCCTGGCTCTGTTCATGCGCTGCGCTGTCTCATAAATGATTTTTTTCAGATCCAAGGCCCCCAGCTGTAGTGGAATTGTCCCATGCTGAGACATAGCAGCATTCCAAGGACATAGCTTAATATGCCAGTGAATACCAAACTGGGGATGTGGGCCCTGCAAATAAACTTCTACTAGCCTGCTGCCCAGACAGATTCTTCCCGTACTGAAGGTGTAGGAGTGACATGAAATCCACAGGTGCTTTGTGTGTAATGTTGGAGTGTGAATTTTGTTTTGAGGGCTTGGTTGTAATTTCAGGATTTCTTTTAATTTGATAATTTGGTGTAGTATTACAAATTGTTTAGTTTATAGGACTGATAGAAACAGAATCCTGACCTGTGGAAGACAAGCTGGGCAAGTGGCTTCAACCTGAGCTTGGGAGAAAAGTCAGGAGTTTTGATGCTTGTGTTAATTTCTGACGACAGTCCCTAAAGAAAGGAATATGCTGTGCTGTGTGTCATGCTCATTTCTAACCAAGGGTGAGATGTAAACTGCAATTGCCTTGATGACTGGCAGATGTAATTTCTGCTTCTGTTGAAGCCCCAAATCGGAGGCTGCTCTATCAATCTTTTTCTCCTAAGTGGGTGATTTTTCTTCTGTGCTCCTCATTTCCCATAAAGACCAGCGTGATTCTCTAATATATTTTATTGCTATTGAGGGGTTGTTACACTGACAGAAACTCATTAGTTGCAGCTTGTTTTCTGTTCAGTCAGTGGTTGAAGCCCTCATTCCCACTTGGCTTCCTCCCTCATTTGCTTTCCATTTAGAATGTGTTACATTTAATAGCCACTGTTAAAATTGCCAGACAGGGTGCTTCCACTGAGCTGACTGCTTGTGTTCTCATATAACATTGCTTTTAAGGAGAAAGTGTAGTTCAGTATTTACAACGCAAAGCTAGAAACCATTGTTAGGGCTCAAAGATTGGCATGATGCTGGATCTCCTGGCTGCTTTTGCCATCAGAGTGGCTGTGCTGTACATGTGCTTCCCCCCCATGACTTGGGTCGTCTTGCCCCAGGCATCTGAGCAGCATTCAGTGGCTCAGTGAGTCCCTGTTCTTCTGCTCTGCATGTTTGCAGCTTTGGAGGAGGGCCTCATTTCTTTTTTCTTGTGTGGTGTTGTGGCACTAAAAGATGAGGAAAAGATAACTCAGTGCTTTGGCTGTCTGGCTAGTATATTTCCTGTAAGCAGTGTGTCACAGTGGAATTTTGGTGTTGTACAATAAGCATGGGTTGTGAAGAGCAGAAGATAAGATGTGACAAGGAGACAAGCCGCTGTTCTTTATCTTAAGGCTGAGTGGGTGCAGTGAGGAAGGAGTGCAGGGTGCTGCTGGTGGGTGAGGGCAGCTGTTATCTGCGGGTATGGGAGCAGGGAGGAGGACTGGTGTGCCTAATTGTTGTTCACTGGGACATCCCAATCATTTTGTGGTGTTTTGGAAGAACAACTTGGAAAAGTAAACTGAAATAGACAAGGGAAAAAAAAGAGAAACTGGATGTGAGTTGGGAGAATAGTATAACAAGAAATCAAGGTGTGTTTTGAGGGCAAATCAGTTGAGGAAAAAGCAGCTTCCCCTAACCATACACAGGTCTTTTACTATCCTGAATTCAGTGTCTTCTCTGCAAAAGTGCAAAAGATCCAATGTTGGGTTATGATAACATGCTTAGTCTGCATTATTCAGTCCTCCGGAAGGAAATATGAATGAAACAGTTGAGATATTATTCAACTTAAAAGTTGTTTGGCATATCAAAGTAAAATGATGTGTTCTGAGGGAACCAGGAAGGTCTGAATGGTTTGATTGCCAGCCAGGTGTCCAGGCAGAGTGACTCAATTTGGGAGTTCTTGCCTCTTCAGACAGGGAAGTGAACAGTAATGTATGTCAAGCTTGATTGATCTGCTCAGCATTCGAGTAACGCTTCCTCCCACATGTTCTCGTTCCTCTGGGGACGCTTGGAGAATTAAACCTGAGGAGGCAGTTGTTGGAGTCCTATCTCAATGCCTTCTATTGGCTTTGTTTCCATGTGAGCTGTGGTTGGGGCAGTGATGATAGAGATGTGAGGGGCCCTGTGTGTGCTGCTTTGCTTGTGGCCGTGCCACAGTTACACACACCCTGGTGTAGCAGCATGCAAACCTCTCTGACACACCCTTGATCTTGAAAACACCTTTGGTTCCACAGAATTAAAAACAAAGGTCTTTCTGTTCTCTTTTTTCCTCCCTGCAGCAGAGTGGCCAAAGACCATGACCGGTCTCCCGAGCACGTCGGGAACCACCGCCAGCGTGGTCATCATCCGAGGCTCCAAGATGTTTGTCGCTCATGTGGGCGACTCCGGGGTGGTGCTGGGAGTCCAGGATGACCCTAAAGATGACTTTGTGAGAGCTGTGGAGGTGACGCAGGACCACAAGCCTGAGCTTCCCAAAGAAAGGGAGAGGATTGAAGGCCTTGGGGGCAGGTAACCACCTCTGTGCTTCTCGCTTCAGTTTTCAGTTTCTCTGGGTGCTAATGATGCTTTTCTGCCTCAGTTAGGCTTAAGCTTGTTTAGTTTAGGGTGTAGCAAGCTGGTTGGGGAATCTCATGGCCTGCTTATATTCCTTCACTGTCTGTGCAATTACTTTTTTCTGTAGATAATGATCTCTGCTGTGGAGTATCTGTTTGTCAAATGGTGGAATAGAGCAGTTTTAACGGAAAAGACACTGAAATGTCTTTCCTCATGCGTTTTGCATTGTTCCTGAGGTGATACTGGCAGCTGTTGAGTAGGCTCTTCAAAGTTTCTGTTAAAGGAATATAAAAGATATAAAATTGAAACAAGGTACTGGGTTTGTTGCATTTAAATGCATGCTTAAAATGTTAAAATGCCACATTTTAACTTGTATCTCAATATTAGTACTTTCTTCATTGTCAGGAGCTGGCAGATGTTAGAACATCTCTGAGTTGTGGTTGATGAATGTTCCCTGTAAATGGGGAGGAAAGCAAGCAGCCTTGTCAGATGGCACTAATGTTTTGAGACAAACCTCAGAGCTTGGATTTGGCATAGCTTCACAGGAGCTCGCTGTTCTTTCGTTCCACAGTACTGCACCAGATGGATGGGCAGAGTTTCCTTCTCTTAGCAGTTCAGAGGGAGAGAGCACTGAAGGTTTTCCTGTTGACATCATTCACACAAGAACCCTGTCAGCTCGTTAACCTTCAGATATCTGTATCGCTAGCAGGTGGAAGCTGATCAGATATCTGTTTTTGGGGTGGGAGCTTCTCAGAAGGGGCAACTTGCAGCTTTGCGAAGTTGGAGTTCATAAATGTATGGGCTTCCAGGTTGTTCATCTTGATGTTTGAAACAGGTTTTGAAGAAGCATTCCCTGAGACTTTGTATCAGCAGGAGCGGTTAAACTTTTTTAGCAATGTTTTCTGCTCCTGCTTCTGTTTTTTGTTGTTGTTGTTTTCTTTGTTCCTTTAGACTGGCTGGTAAAACCAGCGCAGGCTGTTGTGAGGCAAATGGTGGGAGTGTGGTGGAACTGTCACTATGCTTATTAATGTCTTCTTTTGTTAGAGAAAATTGGGATAAGTTAATGTGAGGGCATGATTGAATTGTTTATTAAAAATGGTATTTTCTAAGTAACAGTCCTGGAATACAGGCTGAAATCTTCCAGATAAAGGCTGAAGTTAACATTGTGTAACTATTAGTTGTACAAATGGATAAGATGAATTTTAGGCTGTGGTGCTTGCTGCACTTTCATGCAGAAGGATGGAGCTAAACATGCCTTTGTTGTTAAGGCCTTTGAAGTCTCAGGAAGTGCATCTTGAATAGCTTCAGTATGAGGAATCTTGAGGCTGTTCCAGAGCGCCTCAGTTTCTAATTACCAATGGCTGTTTCTTGGATAAAAGTTAACTTTTAAGCATTTACTTCATATTTCAACTGGGACAAAGCTTTGGTTGTTTGTTGTTTCATTACCTTGCTTTTGGTACCTCGTGCTCTCCCTTTCTTCTCTATTTTTTCCTGCGCCATAATAGTGGGTTCGCTTGCATAGTAACTTCTCTTTTGACCCTTCTAATGCCATTTGTGAGAGCTAAAACCATTGCTTGGTGCTATGGAGCAGGTGTTAATGCTTAAAGGCAGAGTTGTTTCTTCCCATGTTGTGCTTCCAGCAGATAGCAACTATGAACAATTCCTCTTTTTATTTCTCCCTCATGTTGGTGCACCAGGAAGGAAATTCCTCCAGAAGGCTGCTCTTATTTTTTTCCTCTTCCCAACTGTACTGTGCTGCTCTTTACTGCCAGACTTTGGCAGATGGAGAAAACTAAAGGAGGAACTGCATGATGTTTTCACCCGAGTTGATATTGATGGTCCTCATCTAAGGAAAGCAATTCGTCTTTTGCTTTTTTGCTGATAGATTAAAAAGATGCTCTTACATCTGGCTGTTGCAGCCAGCCATAATTTCTTCCAAGTCTTCGTTCTCTTGCTTTTTCTTTTTTTCTGCCCTTCATCTCTTGCTTTTCCATTTAGCTTAATATGGGATGAGGCTATGCAAGTGATACCAGGTGTTTTGACGTACTTCACTATGCTGTGCACCTCACTGAGGGTGCTGTCATTACTGACTCCATATTTGCATATTTAATTATTCTTGTGTCATTGAAAAAAGCTTTCATTTCCAATTCCTTTTTATAACCCCTGTTCCTTTCTGATGATTTTTAGCGTCATCAACAAGTCTGGTGTGAATCGTGTTGTCTGGAAGAGACCTCGCCTGACTCACAACGGCCCTGTGCGCCGCAGCACCGTCATCGACCAGATTCCCTTCCTGGCCGTGGCCAGAGCGCTGGGTAAGTGACCCCTGTGTGGGAATGAGACATCAGCACGCAGCCCACCAGAGCTGAATTATACCCTGCTCTGCCAAAACATTTAGTTTGGAGGGATTTGGTCACTTGCCGTGATTATAAGGTTTTCTATTTTCTAAAATTGTGAACCTTAGGAGGTATTTTTAATACAGCACAAATGTAACTTTTCAAATGGAGCAGTAGGAGGTGGCAGTGGTGAGCAGAGGACTGGTTGTACAACGAGCAGGACTTCCATCTCAGTTCTGATAAAGATGGTACTTCCTTTTTGTTGCAAATGAGAGTGTGGCGAGTGCCTCCAAGATGTACAGCACAGTCAGTCTTTCTTTTACTGAGACAGTGAGACTGTAATTTTTGGCTAGGTGGTGGTGAGATTGTTTTGCTGCATAGCAACCAAAGCACTTTGTTCTTATGTCTCTTTGTAAATCTGTCTTCTTTCAAGACAACGTAGATTAAGAAAAGGGTAGAAGTCAGCCTGTGTGCTTTATCTATAACTTGCCTTTGCAATAGTGTTGGTGATGGGAAACTATTTTGAGGAACACTCTAATGGGGACGAAAATAAATACAACAGTGCCTAGCAAGTTTGTTATGAATGCTTTTTGGAAAGTACTTAATGACTTGATCTTTGGCAATCTCTTGCCCGTGTGTGTTAGTATTTTCTAGCCAGTTGTTTTCCTGAAATGTTACTGCCAAATTCCAGTCTTCTGCTGTTTGCTTTCCTTCCTTCCTCCCTCAGTGAAGAATTCTCTATCCAGATTTATTCAGTATAGGCTAGATTCTACAGAAATATAGTATTGTATTTTTTTTTACCTGTGAAAACTGTTCTATGACTTAATTTCTTGGCAAGTGTGGTGGTTACGTGATAGTGCTGTCAGTGTTCCTAGATCAGCTGGCAGTGTGTCACAGGGACAGTCTGTTCCCGGGACTGTGGTCATCTTGTGATAACTGCATAACCTTACTGTGTCTATTTCAGAGTCAGTTGTGTGTTCTGCATGGATTTGTCTAGTGTCAAGAATTGTGCAGTGGTCTTACCTTATAAAAGATATAGCTATAGAGGCCACAGGTGATTGAATGCTGATCTTTTTCATAAAAATTAAAATTTTTTTCTTCCTTTCTTCATCTTTCAAATCTCTCTGTGTATTATTGTAGACAAGGTAGCTGCTTATCTTGTGATTAATAAAATCTACCTAAGATATTAAGTCCTTTGGAGTTGGTGGATGGAGACCTTTGCTAGTCGCCTACCAAGTAATATCACATTCTTTACCTCTTTTCTGCAAAGTGTCTGTGTTTGTTGTAGGTTACAAAAAGTGGGTATAGTTAATTTCAATAGATTTTTCATTTCTACTTGAATTTGTATACAAAAACCTCAATGACTTTTGATCCAGTTCCTCTCAGCAAGTTGAACAAAAGGATTTGGCTGGATTCTGCATGCAGATGGGAATTCAAGGAATGGTGCATCTGTTAGCCCCCTAGTACATTCTTTCCAGTTATGTGGATGAGGAGGATTACAGGGGAGTTTTAGGTCTGAGGAACAAGAACACTTTGTAACAATACTTGTTGTCAAAAGTTAGAAGATTTGAACACTTAAAACACTTAAAAGGGGACAGTGCCCTCTGCAAATCATGTAGGAGAAACAAGTTTACAACGTGACGATATTTTGGTATTTGCCGGCTCCGGGAGCCTCCGAAAGTCTCTTTGCATTCCCTTCTGAGGAGGTGTGACAAACCTCCCACAAAAAGGAACGCAGCTGCTTTGCTCTGCAGGACCCAGATGGTGCACAGACGCTCACAGTTTGGAAACAGGATTTAACTTCTTTCTGAGGCCAACGTGCCCCTTCCACTGCTTACAAAAGACCTACCAGAACTAAAACCATTTGCATTCAAGCTATTGGAGGCCTGCTCGACCTCTTGGCTGGTTCCCAGGTTGCTACCCTGATTGGCACAGCTCTGCTATGCTGGAGCTTCTCCAAGTGGAGTAGTAACTGGCAATGCTGCCATACTGGTCACCAACACTCTAGTCCATCCCCTCACGATCTAGCACAGAGATTCCAAATTTGCTTGTTATTCTCAATACAAACCCTATGCTGCAAAGGTCTCAGGCTTATTATGTGGACAGCAAGATGCTCTTGTTGCTGCCCTGCACCTACGAGGCAAACAGAGTTGTGTATTTATTATCTTTAAAGTGACAGGTTATCTGATGTTTTTTTAAAGGAAATATAAAACATAGCTTTTGTAAGAGGGAGGCAAAACCTTTTCCTTAGAGCATAATCATTTATGTAAGTTTTTTGGCATCCATATCTTCATAGTAGCTGTCCACTTCATATGTCTGTCCCTATAACAGTTGTGTTGTAACTTGCTTTACTCAAACCCCCTTGTGTAATGCAGGGATGAGTGTGCAAATTGCTGGGTGCTATACAACGTAAATAATCAGGAAGCCATTGTGTAACTTGCTTGTGTGTTTTGAAGAGTGTGTCTCACTGCATCATGCATTACTGTCTCTCTGCCACAGATTTGCAAGTTGGATTTTTTCCACATGGCACCCAGGACGGTATTTTAGACTCCAGTGAGCATGCTTACAAATGTGTGTCTTGGGGGAAAGCACTGAGAGAGAAAATAACTGTGTATGTACAGCCTTGTAGTGTTTCAGCTGTACTAGCTATCTAAATACATTAATTTAGACCGTCAGTTTCTGGGACAAAATACAGGATGATAAGCACAGGGCTGTGACTGAACTTTTGTTCTCAAGTGTAGAACCCATTGCATTAAAAATAGATTGAAGAATTCTGATCTTTGGGAGCAAATTTTGGAGTAAAATCTAGCCTAGCATCTGCAGCGCTTTCAAAGATGTTATACAAAGTAGGGAAGATATTAAAGAAAAAAAATTGCGTTCTCAGTGTCTTGCACTGTAAATTGAAGCATCTTCCTTGGTTTTTATACAGATGACAGACCCACCCCCTTCTGATTGTTTTTGGTGGAGTGCCTCAAAAAAAACAGAGTAGACTTTTTTGTATTAACACAAATGTTCTGCTGACCTCTAGAAGGAGCTATGTACCAGAACAGTGAACTCTCAATGTATGGCTGCTGCGAGAGTGCTGCCTTTGACAGTGACATGGAAGCTGTTTTCCAGAGCACTCTACTGGCTGCAGAATTGCTGCTGTAAAGCTCTCCGAACATGTGTACTGTGAAGAAGGGTATGGCTGACCTCAAATGATCTGCTTTCATTCTTGTGTGATGCTTTAATTCTTGGTGTGCACTTAAATGTGTGTGCATGCAAACATTCAAAAGCTGCTGCCAGGTAGAAGAGGTGTAGTTGTTTGGTGGTATTTGTGTAAGCTAGTAAGCGATATTTAAACACTGCACAGTTTTACTGATACTGCTTTATATCCATGTGTGTCATACATATGGGTTCCTACTCTTGTTCTGGAGATGTCTTACTTCAGCTTGTACAGTTTTCTCCACCCTTGAGACAAACTCTGCATGTATGCCTGTACAGAATGCAGAGAATGCATTTAACTGTGCAGACCTGTGTTAGTTACACACGTAACGTGAAGGCACATGTGGATCTGTTTAGCTTAAAGGAGCAAGTTCAGGACTTTTTTCCTGCTCTTTGCTGACTGGAGCTCTCTGTGTGTGCCTCTTTAGCTCTCTTTTTTTTCTTTGACAGAGTAGAAAAATTATGATAATTGTTTCTCCTTATAGGTGGAACTTTATCCAGGTTTGGTCACTGTGTTCTTCTGTTTTACCCCTTGTCTTCAGCTGAGCAAATGCTGTCTAGGGTTGAATTTCATTTAGAGACTGCAATTCCATTTTAGTGTTCATTCGAAGGATTTAATTTAAGGCCAGAAATAATGAGTAGCTTTCTCTGTGTCATTTCAGCTCTTCATTTCTGCTTTTGCATCCTACTTCTTGTAGGCTTTTCTCTGACACTTAATCAGTGTGCTCTGGCACAAATACCTCTCTCCTCTCTTGCTGTGGTTTTGCTGACATGTGAGCAGAGATGAGCACTCTTGGTGAGGCTGTCTTGTGTAGTTCTTATATCACCGTTTGTTTTAAATGTAAATGTTTTGTTTGCTGTTGAAAGATGTCCTCTTGTCTGTGCTTTCCTTTTTCACATAGTGTTGAAGGTAGAATTCTTGCTCCTAAAGGGAACGGTGAAAGTGTTAAAACCTGAGCACTTCTGGGAAAGTTTTTGGCTCGCTGCTACTCAGTTTTGTCCCTACTCCTCAGACTGAACTTCGAGATCGTCGCTGGGTTGTAGGAGTGGGACATCACGTTGCGTTATCTTTACGCTGCTGGGATGACGCCCTCTTGTGGCTGTAGGGCCGGGCTGCCGTGCGTTCTGGTGAAAACGTTTTCCTCCTCAACTTGGCCTAAATGATCTTAAGAGGTTACTGTTAATATCCTCGCTGAGGTTTGCCTTGCTCCCCAGCAGCACTACCTTGCTGAGAGTGGAGAAAGGAAGTTCTGTAAGCCTTCTCTGTAACTAACAGACCTTAGAGATGAGTTGTGATTTAAAGAGATCTGGGATTAATCAAACTGGGTTTTCCTCTCTCACAGGGACTTATAAAGGTAACTTTTCTTTCCTCCAATAAAACCAAAGCATAAATGAAGGGCTTTATTTATGACGGATGAACTGATGCTATAAGGTGGCTTTGGACTTGATCCAATCTAGTCTACTTATGTGATGGGTGTTTTTGTTTGTAACCAGTAACTTTTCTGGCACTGTTTGAGTTGCAATTAGTTTTATTCACTACATTTTAGAGAGTAATAGTAAGCAGATAAGGTAGGCTACATGTTTTTGTGTTTATATATCTGGTTGTGTGTTTCTTGCTCCTTTATTATGTGATTTCAAATATATATTTTTCATCTGTTAGATGCCATGTTACTTTTGTGCAGATCTGTGTGTTGATCTGGTTCTAGACATGACCAAGAAACAGGTATGATTTTTCCTGGAAAGCGCAGAAGCAGCTGTATTAATTCCTGATTGTTTGGAAAAGGAATAGCAAACCGCACCCCAAAAGAAATGTTCCTGGGTAGAAGTTTTTTCAAGAAGAAGGTTGAGTTTTAAGATGTTTGGTTTTTAATTCAGAATGAAAATAGTGCAGCTCAAAGTGAAGCCTGAGAACCTGGGATTCCAGTTCCATAATAGTAGCCTTTGGCATATCACGTCATCCCGGTTCTTGGCTTTCCAGTCTGCTCAGGGGTCACTTGTCTGTCTGCTTGCTTTGGGACAGAATTAAAGACTTTATAACATTTTTGCACTGCCTGGTTTGTTCTGCTTTCTGGTTTACTTTCTTCTCCCTTATTTCCTTCCAGAATTGTAACAGAGAGGGCCCTGTGTCAAGTGGCTTCCTCCTGGGTTTGTCATAGATCCCTCAGCCGCTGCGGATGCTGTGTCCTCCAGCTGGCTGGAGGAAGATAGACAGCTGACATAAGAATTCAATGTATGCAGCAGCTTTAAAAAGCATCAGCTTAGTCTGTGGTGCCCTGCCCTGTTTTAAAAGTAATAATTAAAGAGGCCTCGCCCTGATAACGTGCCTTGGCCTTTGCTGGCTTGGAGTTGAAGGACCTGCAAGAAATATTCTTTGTGAAGTACTCTATGTAGTACTCTTCTGCCAAGGATCATTAGCCTGTTTGATTCATCTATGGTGATACAACTCCTGTAGTTCAGTTCCTCTGTTATTTCCTGGGTATTTTAGGCCTTGATAAGTGCTGAGTACCACTGAAAGTAAATCTCTTGCAGGTACAGCTCTGGGTTCCTCATGTGTCTTCACCCTCTGTGCACTCCAGCAGTTCCTTGTTGTCACAGCCCATTGTAACAGACGTGACGTTCCAGGCTGTCACCCTGCAGAGCGCTCTGTCTCTTGGAGGAAGGCTCTGAGTCACTGGATTGTAACTCAGCTGTTTGCTCAGGAAGAGCAACAGATGGCCATGATGACATGTATGTGGATGAACCAAAATTAAATCGTGTTGGGCTATTTTTATCATAGAGCAAAGTATTTCTAATCAAAAAATGATTCAGCTAAAAGCATTTGTGGATTTTTCTAAACAAACATGAACAACCCAGCAAATAAAAGCATAAAAATATTAAGCTTGTTGGAAGTTGCTGCCACTATTTCCATGATCTGGCATGATAAGATTCCAAGCTCTTGTTTATTTTATCTGCTATGTTGATGACAGGCACAATGTGAAGAGCTGTCAGTGTATCAGGACTTTTTTTGTGTGATTAATGTACAATAATTGTTGTGCTGGAGCTCAGCTCTTCTGTTACAGTATTTTGATCTTGTTGCCAGCTGGCTGGCTTTGTTGGACTCTGTGGAGGGAGAGTGCACCTCTTTATATGTATAAACAAGGTTGGCTGTTAATTAGCATTTATTAGAAGCATGTGTTTACTGCAGTGGAGGTGAATTGGTGCTTTAATGAGATTGGACCATCCATGCTCACTGCGGTGAAGTGGTGAGAGTTGAAGTATTTCTTCTCCTGATTCTGCACAAGTCTTTTGAGCTGGTTCGTAGCTTAAGGCAAAGCTAATAGAAGGAAGGAGGAAGACAAAAGCTTATTTCTTATCTTTAAAAGGATGGTGATGGTTGCAGAAGGCAGCTACAAATATGTTTGCTGTAGTAAGTCAAAAGCCCAAGGAAAAAAAAACTAACAAAATCTTACGGGAGTTCTTAAGCTTCTCAGCTCTGACATCTTCATTAATTTCTACTTCTGTAGCTGTATGTTCTGCCAGTGCTTACAGATAATGTTATTCCTTTGTTGCTTATCACTACAGGAAGTTACTTACGAGCTGTTTCTGGAGATTTTTCTGGTGCTATTTAATATGTTGACAAAAAACAGATAAGGTAGAAGAATCCAGAATGCAGCATTAGTTTTGTAGAAAGGAGGAGGAAATGTTAGTGCAACAACACTCCTGATTTACAGGCCCAACATAAGAAAACCTTCCCCGATTTTCACATATACCTGATAAATTAGGTTGCGTGTTTAGTTTGAATTTATTTTGTTGTTCTGTTGGAGTGGTTTTTAATTGGGGTGATGTGGAGGAAGCAGAATCCAGGAGGTGTTTTGATTCAAACATGGCTGAAGTGACTGGGATTCAGTTCAGGCCACCTTCTCTGCTGGGGTGACCCCGAGCTCATTCACACAGCAAGAGAGATTTAAAAATAGAAAGGTTCACTGCATGAGGCCTTCCAAGGGAGAGGCTTTAGCTCTCATTTTCTGCTTTCCTGCTGGAACCCAGGCTCTACTTCTGTTCCCGTGGCTTCCTTCCAACTCCAAAATTTGGCACGTGGTGTTCAGCTGGAAAGGCACTGAGTTCTGCGTGGCTTTGAAAGTGATGCTGTGCAAGAGGAGAAATGGGGGAAAAAAGAAGTTTATGAGGAAAAGGCTTCCGTCTCCTTCTTTGTCATCTTTGTTCCTTCTCCATGGCACCTGCATGGACAAATATACCCACAGCAAGAGATGTGTGTGCTTCTGCATTTGTTGAATGGCTGTGGGGGTCTCAGGTTGAAAGGGCAGGGGGGAAGGAGAGCAGTTCCACATCCTGACTGAAAGGTTTTGGATTTATTTTTTTTATTTTCCAAGCATGTCTTTATAGGGTGTGCAGAGCAGCACATCATCATGATGCAGATTAAAGTCTAATGCTGTGTGGATGTTGGGAAGAGAAGGGATGTTGCACAGTCTTCCTCAACCTAATTTTAGAAAGGGAACTATAATTGTCTGTAGAGACAGCAAAGATTTTTGACCAGTGTTTAAGCTGTACCCATAACCAGAAAGGCAGATTATTTTTTTTTGTAACAGTTCAACAAAGACCTTAAAATATAAGTAAATAAATTACATGGCATAACTATTGGTGGCATGAGACTGGTGGTAGTTCTTTTCATGGGACCATTTCTGGTAGTTAACAAGAATCATATTGTATGCAATATGGCAGTTCAGAAACATGTTCTCTTTGCTAGGTGATCTGTGGAGCTATGACTTCTACAGTGGTGAATTTGTTGTGTCTCCTGAACCTGACACTAGTGTGCACACCATCGATCCCCAGAAGCACAAGTACATCATCCTTGGCAGTGACGGACTGTGGAACATGATCCCACCTCAAGATGCTATCTCCATGTGCCAGGATCACGAGGAAAAAAAGTACTTCATGGTGAGGGCAGTGGGCATCAGTCACTGTAGAAATTTAATACTGTAGAAATTTTCCTTGTAAAAATTGCTTAATCTGACATGCGTGAGATGTACCCAGCAATGGCAGTGCTGTAGAGGCATATTTCAGTAGTTTTGTCACAACTTATAGGTGGTGGTAACATGGCTGATAGTGTGCTTGCATGTACTGTCAAATACAATTCATGTGAACTCTGTTTTCAATTTACGAAGTGGATCTGATTGCTTTCTCTGTCTGTCTCTGAACATAAAGGGTGAGCACCGCCAGTCCTGTGCCAAAATGCTGGTGAACAGAGCACTGGGCCGGTGGAGGCAGCGCATGCTTCGTGCAGATAACACCAGTGCCATCGTGATCTGCATCTCACCATTGCAGGACAGCAAAAACAACTTGGAAAATGAAGAAGAACTGTATCTCAACTTGGCAGAGAGTCCCTGCTATAGCAGCCCTGATACAAATGTCATGACGCCCTCCCGCTGCTGCACCCCACCTGTCAAGGTAACTTTTTTCAGTGTTTTTAAATGTTCTATGTGCCAAAGTGGAACCCAGTACATATACATCAGTCTCCCCTTTTGTCTTCAAATAGTAACTTCTCTTTAAGCAGCTTAGTGCCATGTGTAGGAGTTGGGGCAGTGGTGTAGCTGGAGCACTTAGAAACGACTTGTCTGACACCATTTGATGTTACTGTTTGCAGTGCCTATGGTTAAATAATGTTTCAGTTGTAGGACAGTAAATTGACAGCAATTACCTGGTCATATCCTCAGTACTTCTCACAACTCAATGGATAACACTTTGCAGAAACACACGTACTTGTAACAACCATTCTTAATAGAGTCTGAATGCAAAAGAATACAAAGTCTCAGAATTGCTGGATTTCAGGATGCAATGTTTCTGTGATCCTTAAAATCCTAATAACTTACCAGTAATTGTTGATCTTGTTTACTGTTCAAAATGTATAATTACTGTAACTTTATGCATAAAAGTTCAAGCATATTCAAGCAACTTAAAATACACTATTTTGTCAAGACACTCTGAGATTTGAGACAAAATTAGAACTTCTCTATTGAAAGAGGAGCCAGAAGTTTTTTGTTTTTTTTTTTTTAAAAACCCAACCAAACCCAACAGGCTGCCTGTGGAAGTGCTCTTTGTTGTGTGGGTTGTTTTTTAAGTTAATGCACAGGTTTATATAGTCAAATGCACATTGCAGAGACAGTAAGATCTCCCAGTCTGAAAAGAAAACAGTCTTCCTCTAGTTGGTTTATTGTCCTTTGTTGGAGGAAAAGATATACTACAGAGTCTTTGTTCGGGTTAGAAATTTTACCCTTTAATATAAAGCAGATCTGCTTGGAAGCTTTTTTGCCCTAAGAACTAGAATATAGTTATGAGTGGATGTTTGCTTCAGTAATTACCAGCTGCTCCTGATTTAAGTAACTGTCCTTTGAAGTTCCACAGTATCTTTGGATAACAGTCCTTGGGGCGAAGTAGAAAAGAAAGCAAAAAATTAGAAAGGGATTCCTTAACATTCCCTTGGCAGAGACAAGCAGCTAGTAAAATGGCAGGCTCAGCCTTCCTCTTTCCCTTCCACTCAATATAGAAAAACACATGAAAAGAGCCTAAAATAGTGAATTTTTTTTGAATTCTAAATATTCCTGAACTAAAGAAGGAAGTTGAGGAGAGGGGGAAAGAAGGCACAAATAATGTGGCAATTGAGAATATTAATTAGCAAAATAATATGTAAATGCATTAATGCATAAAGCTACAGGCAAATACATGATCTAAATTAGGTAATGAATTCTTAAAAACAAAAAAAAAGTTTTTCCAAAGTGTCTGCAAAGAAATGAGAGATGGTTTAGCAGATCAGTCTTGGCTCCTGGAAGTCACTGTGATGTGGTTACAGGCCAGAGCAGGCAGGTCAGCAAAAAACAAGAGGTAGCAATGAAAGGGATCTTTATCTGTTCTCTCCAGAGAATGATTAGAAGCATGGATAGCAGCTGTGACAAATCCAAGCTATCTTACAAAAACAGTTAATTTGGAAATAGATGGGAGAGTAAATCGAAGTTGTCTCAATTAAACAAAAGTATTTCTTAATTGCATATGCTTCTGGCAGCTATTGCTAATAAAAAATTAATTCAGTTGTTCCTGAGGCCAGTGATAGAATTTGATTGACTAGGCTGAGAAATTACATTGGTGATTGTTTAAGGTTTCTGTTTTGTTACTTCAGTCGTTAGCAGGCTTCTTGGAGTCTCCCTCTTACCAAAGCCTTATTCAGTCTCAGTTATTCATCCCAAGCAAAAGATCTTGGCAATAATAAAAGCTTAAAGTGTCTTACACAATAGGAAACATAAAACCTAAATATTGGCTAGAGACACAATGTCAGAAAGGAAGTTGAGCAGGCTTAATAACCTTGCCAGAGCTTCTGCAACCATGTTGTCTTAGCTTTCTTATGGCTTCTGCAGGAACTGAGTTGAACAACAAAACAATACACATCGTCTTTCTTGTGTGACTTACATGGTAAAAATATTACCTGAATGGCTTTATCTATGCATGAGCAGCAGCAGAGGAATAGTGGGAGAGGAAAATGAAGTCTAGGTGCTAGCAACAATTCTGATACTCCTCTTTTGGAGTGAATTTTATTGTATTATATTTTTCAAAAGAGCTGAGCAGTAACAGATCTCTTACCAACGATGAGCTGAGGTTCCTCTGTCGTGACTTTAAAAGCACGACTTCTTGATAGGAAATGTATTGACTTGGTCTGATTCATCTGCGTGTGCATTTGAGTTTTCAGCACAAGAATTTCTTAATGCAGATGACAATGACTGCCTTACATTTATGGTATGTACCATGGCCTTGAAATTTACTTTTGAAGGACTTACTGAGTAGCTAGGGATTTCTTCACAATTAAATCTTTAATAAGGTCATAACTCATATCTTCAGGGCACTGCGTAAATACTCATTTTCATAATCCCCCTGTGAACAGTGAAAGTAAGCATCGTCCCCGTTTTCATCTCAGTAAAACTGAGATTGAGGCAAAAACACTTATCAGAGGCTGCAGAAGGGATGAGTGGCTGAAGGCAGGATTAGGAAGTCCCTGGTTCTCAGCAAATTGTGTAAACAGCCTCTCTTCAAAGTACAGAACAACTGCACTTCATTCAGGGTGGAGAGATGCACTGTGATGGAGTGCTTTCTCTCAAGAAATAAAGCATACAGCTAGGCAATAAAGCATGCTACTCAGCTGTGAGGAATCAGAAACAGCAAATAGTTCTATTTTTAGAATAGCTCAGTCCAATGAATTTATGCTCCACCTTCTGTATGCGATCAGCACGCCCAGGATATGAAGAGTTTGTCCATAACCAAGTTCTGCATTAACTGCAAATGCTACCCATAACAAAGGTCAGGAGACTTCTGCACATTGCCCTCGTTGCTTGGCTGTCTGATGAGGTATGAAATCTTCAGAAGTAATGTAGGTGTGCACGTCACAGAATGAGGGAAATCGGATCTGCATGTTAGAAAATGCCTTTCATGGAAATCTCAGGACGTTGCAGGCTCTGCTTTCTCCATGGCTTCCTAAACAAACAGAAGGTGTGTGTTGATTCCTTATGTAACTTGCTTTATAGCAGCAAAAAAGATGTGCAGACCAAATAAGTCTGAGGAGCTCTCTCAGTGAGCAGATTGTCTGCCATTGAGACATTTGCAAACTGAACAATGGAAGCAAATGCTTTCATAAAATTGTGTGCACAAAGTACCAAGTTGAGATGCACAGTCTGTATCTGTTTTCATCTCTCCATTCCTGCCTCTCTGGGGAGAAAAGATTGTCCTGTTTTGGAGCAGAGTTTCTCTGATAAGGTTTAGAAATGTTTGTCATACTGTTTTCACCCTCAAAAGATAATGGAGGTAATATTACATTTATGCCTAAGTATATTTTTCTTTCCCCTCAGCTTTTAGAGGATGATCCATGGCCACGACTGAATGCTTCTGAGCCTGTTCCTTCCCTCATGCACAGCAGCATGATCTCAGAAAAATACGCCGAGCTGCCAAACGAGATTGCCAAAAGCAATTTACCTTCATCAGGAGCGGCCCTGAAGGATTCAGGTCCACAGGATGAGAAGTGCAGCAAAGCGCTGGCTTTGAGGATACAGGAATCCTACAGTAATGGTTTGTCAGTCAGTCTGTCCCCATCCAACTCTACAAATTCAGGCACGGACCAAAAAGGCTTAAAGGTGTCTCCTAACGGCCAAACAAAAGCCCAAGATGCGGAGAGGACACCCACAGCAAACTTTAAAAGGACATTAGAAGAATCCAATTCTGGCCCTGCTGTGAAGAAGCCGAGGCGCGGCCTGAGCCGAAACATGGGTGTCCAAGCAGAGGGCATATCCACAACGCCGCAGCGCAAGAACTCAAACAAGCTGGCCATGCGGCGCAGCCTGCGCGGCCAGAAGAAGCTCAGCAGTTCGCTCTTCCACCCGCCCAGGAAAGCAGTCTGCGTTTGCTGAAGGGCATTTGTGTAGGGGAAGTGTATTTTATTCTGATGGGAATTTTAAAGTTGGTGCAGAAGTTTGAAACTCTTCCTGTTTTATCTTTTTTTAAAGTAGAAACTTTTTTTGGTATCCAACAGCTTTCTCCCGGCCTTGTACTTGCTTGTATTATAACTGTGAATTTTGTAGATGTGTAGGGTATAAGTCACTGTAAAATGTGTGTAAATTTGTATTCCTTCATATTAATGTAGTCTCTTTTTTCTTCCTTGTATAATTGTTAAAGCGGGGCTAAACCTTGTTTAAAAAAAAATAATAAAGTCTTTTTTGTTAATTTACTAAAGTCTTGAATTTGTATACGCTTCTCGTGATGGGAATTTCACAACTTTTTCACTAAAGTAAATTATTAAACAGAATGGAAGATATGTATTTTCATAGTATTATACGTCCCACTGGAGTGTGTCTTTTAGAGAATACACTAGGTCTATATTTTGTTTTTAAATTTTAGATTTCTCTACTCAGAAACATGTGGAAACAGATGTTGAGTTGTGCTTTAGGCAGCTCGATGTCCATTTATTTGTAAATTAAAATACTATGCAGTATCTTATCTAGTTGCATTTTTGTAACATTAATAGTCAAAGTATTTAGCAAAAAATAATCGTGTTTTTAAAACTCCAACTCCCCAGTCATTCAATAAAGCCATTCCCCATCCCTGCTCTCAGTGGTGGCATTTCTACTTCATGTCTGCCCTACAGAGGTTGAGTTCTCTGCTGTTCCAATACCGATGGTGCTGCTATACTTTCAACAAGTTCTTAAGTTATTTTATGACAATTTGAGTATGTGGACCACGTGTATGTTCACCTAAATAAAAAGTGAGAACTAAACTGAGTGGCTTTTTTTTTTTTTTTTTTTTTGCCTTTTATAGTTTCCATCTGAAGTACACTCTTAACACTGCTTTCTCCTTCCTGACAGCTGCTGTATGGAACCCACTTCCATAGGACTTCCTCTGTAGCTCTGTAATGGCACAAATCTGTGCTGTGTTTGTAAACGGGGAAACAAGGAGCGATGCTTCGATCCGAGGGCTGGGAGGTATTCCTGGGATCTGATTATGTCTGGAGCAGCAAGGCACGGGCTGGAATTAGCCCTGCTATCTCTGTGTGTTGCCATGGTGACAGAAATCCTCTCTGGAAATGCATAATTCCGTTTCATCCGGGCAGTGAATGCTGCGCTAAGGGGGGAAGCAGCGCGCTCTGTTGGATTGCCTCCTTTAAGACTTCATACGGGACACCACCTATGGGTATCAACGCAGCTTTGAGCAGCGAGGCGGTTCACGCCCGAATAAATATTTACTCCCTGGCAGTCAGACGACGCCTGCCGCTCCCCAGGTGCCAGGAGCTGCTCGCGCTGCTCAGCGCGTCGCCCTGAGGGCCGGGGATGCGGGGCTCGCGCTGCCTCACAGCCCTCCGCGCGGGAAGGTAAACACGGCGCCTTCCCGCCAATGGGCGGCTCGGCACGTGACGCGTCACCCGCGGCCCCGCCTCCATCCACGTGCGAGGGACCTGCGCGGTGGCTCTCGCGAGATCTCGATGTAAACAAAGCTGACTGGGGGAGGAGAGGGGGCAGCTCCGGCTGAGCTTCGCCGTCTCAACCGAGCTTGGATGAGCGCAACCGAACTCTGCGCCCCTCCGCCCCCCGCCTACCTTGGAGGAGAGGACCGCGGATTGGTCGGCAGAGGGGAGCAGCCCGCCTTCAGGGCCATCTGATTGGCTCGCGGTGTGAGGTGCGCTCTGTGTCACTCCCCGTGTGGGTCCCAAACACTGTCAGTGAGGAGCCGGGCTGAGGGGCGAGGCGGCAGGTGAGGGGATGCGGCGGGTGGCGGGGCCGGTAGGACCGGTACCCGGCCACGGCAGCCGGGGAGAGCAGTGTGTGAGGGCTTAGGGCGGGCTCGGGATCCGCGGGGAGTTGGTGAGGGCGAGAGCGGGGCTGTGAGGCCGGGCAGGGGCCGGGGCGCTGAGGGCGGGTGAGTTGCGCCCGGCGGGGCCGTGGCGGGAAGCGGGGCGGCCGGGGGCTGCTGGGGGCTGCCTGCCTGCCTGCTGGGGGCTGCGGCCTCAGCGCCTGCCGAGGGAGCCGGGCGGGTCGGGGCGCCGCGCTCCGGCGTTGCTCAACCGCTGTGCGGCCGCCTCAGCGCTGTGGCCCGCGTTCCCGCGCGCGGCTCGTGCCGGTCGGGGCAGCGCTGTGGGCTCTCAGCCTTCAGCTCCCGGTGCTGCGGTGGTGGCGCGAGCCGTGTGTGAGAGAGAACCGAGCCGTGTGTGAGAGAGAACCGAGCCGTGTGTGAGAGAGAACCGAGCCGGGCCGCTGCGTGTGTGGAGGGTTAAGGCTGCGAAGTATGAAGTGAAGCTGATAACTCGTGTTGGAGCTGGACGTGGTGATCCTTATGGCTCCCTTCTGTGACTCTGTGTTGGCTTTTTCTTTATACTTCCTAAAAGCACGGAAATGGAACGCTGTGGCTGGGACCTGTGGTGCCACACAAGTGTTGTTTGGCATTAGGAAAACATTCAGAATTCGAAGGGCCCAATTGCATTCACATACTTTGCAGGAGGTGTATTGATACCAATATCTCTATCTGTCTGTATTTTTAAGAGTGCTGTGAAGGTGTGGTGCCTTACAGGTTGAGTCAGTTGAGTTTCCTTCCCCCAGTAGTTTTCATAATCCTAAAAAAGATGATGAGAGCTGGATTGTAAGCAGTCTTCGTGCAAAGGATTGTTATTAAGAGGAAATGTTTCTTACAGGTACCTGCAGAAGAAGCAATGGCGACAGAATCCCCGCGCCGCCCGAGTCGCTGCACCGGAGGAGCGGTGGTCCGCCCGCAGGCTGTCACGTAAGAACGTTCTGGAAGAAAAGGCCTTGTGGGGGATGTGTTCTGTGGTCTTGCATGTAAAGCGCCTTGCCCAAAGTCTCTTTCAAAGCTCACTCTGAGAGCTGATGTTGACAAAACATTGCTGTTGCAGCTGGTATTTTCCAATAAAAGGAAGTAAGCAGGTGTTGCTTTCCTGTCTCCTCTGCCTGTGCAGGTCAGACAGCCTCCCTGAATGAGATGCTTATCAGCCTTCAGAGCTGTGCAGCTTAAAGATGAATACTGGTACAAATTCTCATGGAGAAGACTATGCTGAGTAGCACGTAGCTCCCTGCAGAGTTCTGCTTATGTTAAACTGAATTATTATAAACAGAAGGTGGTAGAGGACTACAAAGAGGAGCGATGCATAAACTGATCTTCTTTGAACTTGATTCTGTAATGCATCTTAAGCCTCCCAATGTTAAGTGTTCTGTGTGTTTTTAGGGTTTGTTGTTGTTTTTTAAGCAATTTAAAGGAACTTTCATAGCTTTTTTTTTTTTTTTCTCCTACATTGTGAAGAATTTAGTATACTATGGTGAATAAAACATTTCCCAAACATCAGCTTAGTTTCCAGGCGTGCTGTAAGGGGAAAAAAGCTACCCCAGTACTCATTTAACAAACTAAAAGACAAAGACATTGTGACTATTGCTGGTAGGCATTCACATGAGAACTTCAGTCACCATTTAATACTATACCTCTAAGATGTTATTGGTAGGTAACGAAGGACTCTAAAGGTACACAAAGACAATTTTTGTGACCTACATAAACAAAAGAAGGATCAGCCCTAGAAAACCACACCTTATTTGTAAGGCCTTTACTTAAAGCAGTAGGACAGTCTCTATTGATTCAGCCATCCCTGAGCTGCTGAACAAAGCCTGGTTTTGTCATTGGTTGCAGTAAGCTTTCAGAAATTTTAAGTCCTGTGGTTTTGATTCATCATTGTTTTCAGAGAGGAGTCCAGTAGTTAAGTTGATTGAGGTGCTGTAGCATTTGAAGTATCTTTGGTGCCCTCATTTAGGGGAGAGCATTTCAGTCTTACCTGCTGAAAGTTCCAATTTTGAATGATTTACATGGTTTTAGGAAATACAAAGAAAATGTGCATACCTTCGGTCATCAAGGCCCTCGATTGCTTACTTCATGATTTTTCCTTGTTGCTGTTAGAAATCGTAGAGTAGCACAGGAAAAGTGCCTGGCAAAATAAAAATGTGGGGGCTGCCAAAGCTGTTCACTGGAGGAAGTTGCTTTCTGTTTGTTTTTGAGTTTGCAGACTTTATGAACATAGATTTGGTTGCCAGAATATTTCAGTATTGTGCATTTCAAAAAGCCCAAACTTTTTGTGTAGTTTCAACACTGTGTAATGAGCTCAGCCAACGTTGTGCATTGCTCAGCAGTTACACAAGAGCCTCACCACTCGTGCAAGGATAAGCTAAGAAAAACGTTCGTTTAAATCTAGCAGAACCAGTGTATCTTGCAATATATACTATTCATTGCTGCTAATGAACTTCCAAGAAGGAATAAGCTTTCCAAGCTGTAAAACTGTAACTGGAAGTATCTCCTTACTCGTCCTGGTTGGGGTTTTTGTCCCACCCACTGCTGCTTCCATTTGCCTTGTCATTGTACATATTGCACCTGAGGTCATAAAGTTTAGAGGCCCCACAAGGAAAGCTCCAGCCCTTGGTGTAAGCCTTCTTTCATGGTGTAAGATCCAGTTGAAGTAGAAAAATGCTGAGAAATGTTTTTCCAAAAGCCTTTTTTGCTCTAATTGGTCTTTCTACTGTGGAGAACATGGGTTCTTTCTCAGCTGTTACATTTTATCCTTTTTCCTGAGCAGTTGTTTCATAAATAAGTATCAATTCACATTTTACATACTTTTAGGTCAGTATGTGTGTATGTTGTCAGTGTGTGTGACAGCCTACTGAGTAACTGCATTGCATCCTTAATAATTTTGTGTTGTCCTGTATGTTTTCTCTGTCAATATGTTTTATTTAATATATCCCTAACCACTTCTGGACTCCAGTAGTAGTGAAAAATTCTCCTTCTGTTTTCAAGGGAACAGTCATATATGGAAAGTGTTGTTACTTTTCTTCAAGATGTTGTGCCACAGGTATGTGCATATCTTAAAAGCTGTTTTTTCACTAGCAAAGCAGAAGTTCTGCTTTCTCTCTCTCTCTCTCTCTCTCTATCTCCTTCTCTTTCTCTCCCTCTCTGTCTTCTTTTGTCCCTTTTTTTCCCTCTGTGAGAACTGCAGTGCTTCTGTTTTTGTAGTTTTCACAGGAAGCAGCAGCATGAAATGGTCACTTCTGTATTGCTCATGGGCCTCTCGTAGCAGAGGGAAACCAGTGTTGGAAAGCTGCAGTCAGTAGTGAAGTGTTGCAGCGAATTGCCTATAGCCTCAGGAAACTCTCTTGGTTCTTATTTGAATGACTATCTTGGATAACTGAAGTCATGAATTTCTTTAATGGTAATAATAATAAGAAGAAATCCCCTTGCTGGTATTGGCTTGTGAAATGCGTTTTTGCACTCATGGTCAAAATTAAATTAGCCAAACTTTCATTTAAAAGACTGCTGCATTCCCTATACCCCCTTGCTGCCTTTGCTTTTCTCTATAGTTAAAGGGTACAGTCTGTGTTTTGTTGTACAAATCAGTTTGCCTTGGAAACATGGAATGAGATCTGTTTTGAAAAGTAATACCCACACTTTTTAAATCTGTATTTTTAGCTCACATTATTGCTTTTCTGGCATGTATAAAGTGATTATATGGTCTCTTTTCATATTTATTCCAATATATTGCTCTGTATTTTGCCATAATTCATTTGGAAGTGATGGTATTTCTACTGCAGTTCACGTTCTTACTACCACAGTTTCTCCTGAGAACTGTAAAGCATGCAGCTTAGAAACACTGCAGGTCTCCTTCAGAGTTTCTTTTTCTATCTCATCTTCTTATGGGAATCTGTGGAACACAGAACTGAAACACAGATTTGTTCTACTGGAATTACAGTGTATTCTCTAAAATGGCTGTGATAAAAATGTCACAAATGTAACTATAACGTGTTGGTAAAATAAATTGTAATAAAAGTCTGTTTCTTTGTTCATTTTTGCTTACAAAGCATTTAAGTGAATAAAAAAAAGTTTTAAGAATGAAAATGCATCCTGTGAGAACCTCCGATGTTGCTCTTACAGGCAGTGTAGAATTGCTAGAAGTTGAATGTGGCAGAAGTCACTCTGTTTTAGCCTGACTAAATTGCTGTAGGTCCTGTGGCAGTTCTGACCTGCTGCAGAAGGCTTACTGATGTGTGTCTGCTTCAGTGAGTGATGTTAGAACTTGTGAGTCACACCCAGCATGCTATGTGTTGATCATGGGCTCGTTCCTTTTTGAAGCAAAATGTCCCAGTAATCCTGGCTGACTTAAGGTGCAGGTATACCTATTTATTTATTAACTTTACAGTCTCTTCTGTGCTCTACAAAGGGAGGAAGAATGAGTGTTACATTTTCTTATTTTGAGCCTTTTGCTTTTTGGCCAGGCCTACAGTGGTACTCCTCCAGCAGAAGAAAAGGAGAAGATCATTTGGGTCAGATTTGAGAATGCGGATTTGAATGGTACGGTTTCATTTTTCTCTCAGTATGTAAATGCTTTTGTTCAGTACCTTGCCAATGGAACAAATAGGCCCTGCTGCTGCATCTAAAGGCAAACTAGCTCTTGCTTAGGAGGAGAGGCAAATAATAAAAAATCCTTTTCTTTTCCTTATGATAGTTGAAGACAAAGAATAGAACTGGATTTATTTTGTCCACTATTTGATTTTTAAAGTTAGATTGCCTAACTGTGAATCCAGGTCCAAGTTGTGGATATACGTCCAGTGACATGTATAATTCATAGTAACCTAGAAGGGATGAGCTGCTAGGGAAAAGGATTGGGAGATTCTATGATGTCTTTCTTTATACGATGGTAAATAAAAGCAAGGGCACAAAGTATTCTTTAAATGTAATTTACTGCTTCTAGTGTGTCTCAGAAAGTTGTCTGCTAAAGCTGCTGACTGGCAACTGCTGTCCAGCATCAAGAAAAACTGGCAGTGGCCTCAGGATTTTGCTAAGAGCATCAAGTAAAGTACATCTCCAGATAACACATGAGATATTTTACCTCAGTCCATCCCAGTTACCTTTTTTGAACAAGTAAGATTAGTGACTGAGTGGGAAGTGGTTGAAAGCTGCTGTCAAGTAACTCACCCAAATGGACTGAACACTTTGCAGTTGCTTGTAGTGTATGGCACGTGTGATTGCTATTAGCTTGTTGCTTAGCTGGGGGACTATGGGATCTGCATTCCTGTTCAGGCTTTTCAGTGAGCATGAGAGCTAAGTTTTCCAGAGAATTGCTGTTGTCTGCCATCTTATCTTATTTTCCTTTCTAGAGCTCTATGATAAAGGTCTTATATGAAGCAATAGCTACTATAGCCAGAGCCATGATGAGGAACTTTCAGACTCTCCTTAAGGTTAATAGGGAAGATTATTCTGTTTTCCAGCTGTTGAAATGGCACAGAGGCTGGCAGTTCATAAATTCATGGTTCTTAGAACAAGAAAAGACCTATCAACTCATGCATGGCATTATATCCAGCTTTAGGCTGTCAAAGTTTGTTTCTTTGTGAGCTCCTTTTCCTCTTCTGTTTATTTTTAAAGTTCTTGGCCATTCCCTCTTTAGGCTCTTTTCTACAGCATAACAAAAATGGTTTACGATATTTTGCAGAATCCTTTGTATTTTGTCTAAACTTTTATGCCATGTAATGTGTTTGGACTTGAATGTATCCTATTTCAACATCCTGAATGTTTTTCCTCTCTTTCTTTGATGCTTACCTATTTGCAGGGATCTTTTGTTCATACTTGGAAATAAAGTTTTACAGGGCCTTACTCAAGAAAGGCTTAATTTTCTTGTTATCGTATTCTGAGGCACTTTTCTTCCTGTGGATTTCCTTCTTTTCAGAAGGTTGATGCAAAG